GAGGGTGGGGGTTGAAATTATGTCCTTTTCTTGAATGGTTAGGAAATATCACAGATTATAATTTAGTAAATAAATTGGGATTCTCTAGACATTTAATAATCTGACCGTTATTATTGAATGAGCAAGTTATATGTAGCAAAATGTGGTCAAGAACTCTCAACAAAGGAACATATGTAGAATGTGTATGATTGGACACAGTGAAAAGCATAAAAATTTATATACTTACCCAAAAAAAAAAAGCATCAGCAAGAACTGTAAACATATGCCATATATGGGAACAATAGGAATATACGTGATCAAAGTTGAATACACTTTTGTTCCATTCATTTTATCATAAAAGGATAGATGATACAAGAAATTAACATGAAAGCATCCATTTGTATTTACCAAGCCTGTTTCCAAAAGATATTTCAGTTGCCCAAGGCACAGAAAAACCAACCAATGATACGCAGGCCTGCAATGGGGATCCTGCTCTACAGTACATTGTTAAGGCAAACAGCAAGCCACTTTAACCAAGAAAGAGAAGTCAGAGGAAGAAAACAAAACCCAACACAAACCCAAACCCCCCCCCCCCCCCCCCACACACACACGCAGAGCAACCAAGAAATATAAGCCATCAACACATCATTATGAAAATCTACCAAAAAAATAATTAAAAAAAAGGGTACAAACTGTAACATGCATAGCCTACATTTGGTTTATACCTGAAGCTTTTAGTCAATTACAACACACCCCATTATCGCAAATGCTGCTTGTTAATGCACAGTGAATCAGGTGGTGATTAAAAAGAGACAAAATCAGGAGATTCATTGATTCCGCTGATGTGCATATGAAATTCAAAACAAAAAGGCACAATAACAAGAAGATATTATTTTCAACAAAAAAACAGTGACTCACTGAAGCTATATGATACTTCAAAGCAACAAGAAATACAGCACCACTGCTATAAAATTCTGGAAAAAGAAAAGGAAAAATAAGCATATTAACACATCTCAATTAGGGGATCAGAACCAAATGGTAATATGGTATACCTCCGCTTGAAGTACATATATACTGGTTGTTGTAGAAGAAGTCCTATCAGCAGACGATTAAAAGGCCACATTAGGGCAGTCATCCAGAATGCCCTTAACACATGTTCTGATGCATGCCTTGCCACACCATGCCCAACCTGATACAAAAGAAGAAAGATGTACAATTCACTAAATATCTCCAATGTTATAGGATTTCAACAACTATAATTTGAATAAATCACAGCCATTATACATACATACCTCATGTCCTAGAACATATGCTAACTCTGCATCTGAATTGCAAAACTCAAGCATCCCTGTATAAAAAACAATCTTCCCCTTAGGGAGGTGCTCAGCATTTGTCTTACAAGAGTCCACCACCATCACTTCCCAATTCAATCCTTCCAAATGCCTAGTCCCAAACTTGATGAATGATTTCTTTGGCCTCTTTTGGCACTCCTGGTCCACCTTTGATGCAAGCAAAGTGCCTTCAGATCCGTACACAGAAACATTGCAATCATTTTCAAGCCCTAGACCATTGTTCATTCCTTGAACTATGTTTCTCAGTATGGACTGAACTCGAACACTTTGTGGGTGTGAAGGAGGAAGTATGTTCCATTGGTATTCCTCCTCCATCTTCTTCCAGTGAAGCCATCCTAAAAATCTTTCCAATTTGTCGTAGGATGTGACCATATGGATTCGATTCGAGTATGGAACCGTCTCAAAACTGGTATAGAGTATATTAAACATGATAAAGAGCTCTACAAATCTGTACTTGCGATTTCTAAGCCATTGCCACCATGAATTTTTCTTCAGTATGTAACCTTGAAGAGCACTGTGTGTGAAAACATCAAGTGGGTATGGATTTGAAGAGTAAAATTTTCTTCCACAACCAAATAAAAGAGGCGAACTGTTATGTTTGAGTCCATGAATGTATGAACTTGCATTCATGGGACTGATAGTGTTCTCAACCAGATACTGATGGGAGCGAGACACAATCTTGTTCAAACATGAAGTTGAGTAAGGACTTACCAGAAGCAGCTTCGATTTCATGTAAGAGAAACCCATATCGCAAAAAATCTTCGACGGTCAAAAAAAGAAGAAGAATGCTCTTCAATGGAGCTATTTTCTCATTGTTGCAATCAAGAGGGTTAAAATGGAAGTATTTGTAAACACAGAGACAGCGTGGGCGTGTAAATGGGTACACACCCACGCCAAGAATATGTTATTGTCAAAGAAGACGCCTCTGGCTCTGCTCTGTGTAGAAAAACTGAAAGAGTGCAACTTTTACATTATGATAATGACGAAGGACAGAGACAGCTAAGTCTTGGAGGGCATTTTCCTCATTTATGCCTCTAATATTTTGAAATTTTTGGAATTGTCCCTCTTATAGAATTTGCATTCCCCTTCTTCAAACAAATCACTATTTTTATTTATTTATTTATTTATTTCAAAAGTCAACTTACTTTATTTTGTGTTTTTGTTTTTTTTTTTTTGGGTCTCTTCTTAAAAGCGCTAGGCCATCCACAATTGGTCTGATGTCTGGGTGTGCGGTACATTGAGAGCACCTTCCAATTTCTTCTGCTTGCACTCGTGAATAATACATATGTAGAATAATCTTTTTTTTTTTTTTTTTTTGTTCCCTGCATCTTATTAAATTTTTTACGGTAGTATTATGAACTTAATGTTCGTATTTTATGTATGAAAATTTTCTTTATTGCAGTTTTTTTTTTTTTTTTTTTGGGAATTACGAACATACAATTTTGAATCTTGATTATTATATCATTATCACACTTCTATTTTTCAACTTACTAGCAGTCCCATTTTTTTCTTTTTAAACGTATTCTTAAAATAAATTCCTAACTTTGTCCCCTCTGATCATGGAAACTGCAAATACACACACGGATAACTAGTTTCTTAAAAGAGTTTTTAAGAACTAGAAAATGCTCTTTTTATTCTCAATTTTGTTTTTTTTAACTCTCTACTATTTTTTTTACCTTTAAGAGAATTTAGGGAGCACTTTTACCTTTAAGAGAATTTAGGGAGCACTTATATTACTTCTACGTTAGTGAGGCACCATATCGTGTTAAGACACTTTTAAATACCGATGGATTCTCATCTAGAATTTTTTAAACATATCTATAATTTAAAATATATATTTTTTAATTTTTTACACGTATTTAATACATCTCAAGACACAATCTTTAATAAATTTTGAATATTAAAATGTAATTTTTCAAACAATAATATCATAGTGCTATTGTGGGGAAGTTTTAAGTGTTGGAATTTATTGTAATTTTTTCAAAAAATGAAGTGAAACAAGTAGATTCATAAATCTTCCGTGAGCTCATTTTGGATCAAAAGGCATACTGTTTGGCAAGCACGAAGCATAACAAAAGCTTGTGATTTCATCCGTAACATTTACTGAAACTTATACAATGGGTTCATCACCATGAATGCATGATGCTGATGGATATTATACACACAGAAACATACGCGAACACACTAACATGAATATTAAATACGTCTTTATCTTAAATGAGTTTTTTTAAAAACTGTAATAATTCAAAAAAAAAAATAGGGAATTAAAAAAAAAAACTTTTTCTCCAAATTTTCCTTGTCTTTTCCTTTCCATTATTCCTTTTTCACATAGCAGATTTTGGAAAATTTCATAGTTTAAAGTAATAATAAATTTTGTGAGTATGGTTTGTTCATCTTTAAATATATTTAAAATTTGAAACATATTGCATTTTGTGATAATTTTTTAATTTGGGAAAATAAAGAGAACCAAAATTTAAAAACTTTTTGAACAAAGTGAAGTAGAAAATGAGAAACTATTGCCTAAAGTGTGTTTTTCAAATTAAACATTAATATGAAAATTTATTATATTTCAAATTTTATATAAAATTAATAACGAAAAAAAAAAGAAAGAAAAGAATAAGTAGCCTTGAATTTCAAAAAGTCATGTTTAATAAAAAAAAAAATGTTGCGAGTTTAGAAAATAAAATGGCTAGTTTAAAAAAGGTTGAGTTTCACTAAGGTTTTGATTAAACTGATGAAGGATGCAGAATGGGAATGGGATTTGGATTTAGCAGCAAATTCAGTTCATCCCAATATTGATTCCGCCAAGAGAGGCCATATTCGGAATGCGTTTTTATCATATTTTAGTTTTGTTATGTTTGAAGATTTGGAGGCTCAAATACTCCCTCAGTCCCATTTTAAATGTTCACTTTGGAAATTGTAAGTCACAGTTTTTAAATTAGACATTTAAAATGGGACAAAGATAATACGTAATATATAAAAACTCTTCTCTAAAGCAATTAATTGTACATGTACCGTGTAATTCCCATGGATGTTTTAGCTCAGAATCCAAAGTGTGATTTTTCACAATTTTGCAAGAAAAAGTATCAACTACTTATACATCCTACCATGAAATCATCAACTTTTAGCTGCTTGGATCGGAAAGAGGTGGTTCTCTACAATTCATGGAGGTCAATTGAGCGTGTTCTATGAGTAGTTTGTTACAATGACAAGCTCAATGCGGTTGCTTCATAAGCTGGCCTATTCGTCGATGGTAGAGAAATTTCAAGTGGAGAGAGATGTGAATTTCTCGACAGCATACATGGAGGATGTCACAAGGAAATGTATAGTTACCGGCAAGGGTAGGCCGGAGGTAGGGTTGGTAGTGATACCAGGATTCAAGATTGGGAAATCAGTCATTCAGGCTCGGGTTTATCTAACAGACTTGAAGTGTACAGAGTAGCTATGAATATACAGTGGGAAAGAAAATGAAGAACTGGAAAATGATATGACTTCATAAAACCTTTGCAACTATGCAAAATGAGATTCAAAATTTCCTGATCCTTTTTCCCTCTTCCGCGGCAATCAAATAGAGCATCCGTGAAAATTTATCCTTCATTAGATCAACATAAGGCTAAAATTTCAAAGATGGTTCACACCTAATGATCAAATGTAGACTCTTGAGAAAAATAGACAAAGGAATATAGAACTTTATAACATTGTTCACTTTGCTAAGCTCTTCTCTTTTCTCTTTTTATATGAGTACGAAGTACCCACCAGCAACCTGTAACAGAAGATTGCTATTTTATTGCAGAATGAGCAAATCTATATTTTGATTTCTTCAGAGCTGTTTCCATTAAACCGAAGGGTGAATAAAGAAAACATAAGCTAATACATCTGAATGTTTCAACATGGATGCAAAAAAGTTGTTCATTTTGATATCTTTGCAGTCAGTTCTCTTACCAGCTTGGCCGCAACCATTCCAGTCATACCATCAACAGTATCACGCTGTGGGTTGAACTCAACCACATCTGCAGCAACAACATCAGCTTGAAGGTTGTGGAGTATGTTGAGAACATCACGGAAAGAGAGACCTCCTGGCTCAAGATGAGATACCCCAGGAGCAAATGCAGGATCAAGACAGTCCAGATCTAATGATATGTATACACCCTTCACACCTTCTCCAAGTTTCTGCCATCGAACATAATAAACAACTGCAAATTAGGACACATCCATGGCCGCCAAATTTTCAAATGCACACTTCTACACTATCACTACTACTACCATCATATGTGAGACTACATATTTAAGATACGAAATGATAAAAAAGGGCCTGCACAAAGTTTGGAATCTTAAACTCAAACTGGACAATCAGTGAGTATGATCATTAAAATCTGCATAACATTTCAAATTTCTTCCAACATTTGTGCAATTAAAGATTCCCAGATATCAAAAAACTATGAGGGCATTGAAACAAATAGAATGCTAATTACTAATCTAATTTTCCAGTTACTTCCAAAACTTCACAAATTTGAGAAGGATACAGCAAAAAATCAGGTCATTACGTACTTCCTGATTCTTTGAATGAAAAATATTTATATGACCGGCAGCATTAATAAGTAAAGAAGTAATTTTAGTTTCGTGAAAATTACCAACTTGCTTTAATCAGGATCCTGCTTGGAAAAATCATTTAAGCATTTCAAGTGTTCACTATTATTGCCATCGTCATCATTTTAAGTGCTAATTATGTATCAAATGTCTATTTCATATTGTTCTAAAGTTTCATATTGTTCTGATTCTTTGAATGAAAAAACTATTAGTTTCGTATCACAACATTTTCGGAAAAGGTATTATATTTTCTCATATTTTTATATTTTGATAATTCCAAAACATGAGAGAGAGAGAGAGAGAGAGACCAGGTTCTCCAGTTGGTGACGATCTCTTGAAAATGTCCGCATTTCAAATTGCTCCACACCAAATCTTTTTCCTTGTTCACGACCTTCTTTTGTTATTGATCTAATACCAACCTGAAAAGTGAACTTACAAACTTTTTAATAATGAGGATAGAAGTTAGTTGTTAGCATAATATTCCTCTTATCCATTTGTGCAGAGAAAGACTTGTTGAACAACAAATGTGGTGAATATGAATTTGTGTACCATTCCTTTGAATAGACCTTACAGTAAGTTCTAACGAATGAAAACGGATCAAAATTATAAATGCATAAAACAACGAAAACACCAAAATAATGTTTAATATTTTTTTTTTATAAAAAAATGTAAATGGAAAGATGCATATGAGTAAAGGTAGATCCAGGTTCTTAAAAATTCATGAGGATGTCCAAACTTTAGCTGTAGATAGAAAAAGGATTTCTCCATGAAAACTAATGAATTTGAATGAGTTCTATTACTGATACATACAACCAGTCGTCTTGGAGATAAAATTATTATAAATTTAATGTTTAAATCCTCAGAGGAATTGACCATAAAATATGAATTTCCCAGCCCAACCAATCTCAACATCCAAGCATTAAATTTTGTAAGTATCTTTATGTGAGGCTAGAATTTCCATAAACTACAGTTTTTTATTTTACGTAGCATCCAGTTCAGTTACTCTACAGTTTATCGACTACAGAAGTGAAATAATATATATATATTAAGAGGAAAGTAAACAATATATTGACAAACAAAAATTACTTGCAAAAGCCGCCGAGCATAACCACCCTCCATAATCCGAGCAAAAGGGGATGCATGAGAATATTTGTTTCCTTCAAATTCATGATAGATATCAGGATGGGCATCAAGGTGAAGTATATCCACAGGTCCACCAAGCTTCTCAGATACAGCTCTTACAACAGGAAATGATATTGAGTGGTCACCCCCTAAAACTAAAGGGCGCAATGGATCCTGAATAGGTGATGGAAATCATAAGGATTGTGAGTCCGTGCTTGAAATACAAAGTAGCGGAAGACAAGATTTTACAACGTATACTTCGCAAATAAATATATAAAAGAAATAGAATATGAATTGTAATTAACAGAATTTCTTTAGGAAATGGGTATTGTTAGTACTAACGAGAAGCAAAACATTTAGACAAGCAAAGAAATAACAGTGCCTTTCAACACTAACAGCATATAAGTAGACCATCCGTACTATTCATTGTCATCAAATTAGGGCATAAAAAATGCTTGGTAAAATAAGAATCCAATCCTAACATGTATGCATGGGGTGTGCAGTAGAGTTGGTAAGCATATTCATCACTGTTGGATGTACAATGGGCAACAGTAGCAGTTATCACATGAACTCATCAAACCAGTGAACTTTGAATACTGTTATCACCTATTGAGTATGTTAAAATGGCAAATTATTCATCAAATAAAATGTCCAGCAAGGATGTCCCATCCAGTTAACTTTGAAAATTGTTACTGCAGTTTGGGTCACAATCCCTGACCAAATTTAGCAATATGAGTCAACGCTAGCATTGGCAAGAAAGTGGACGAAAATCATATCTTTGGGATCTCACCTAGTCTTTGTGAGACAATTTGTTGAGACACTTTGTGGAGACAAATTAGCATATTAAATCAAGCATATGCTCTTATGACAAGACAGCAAGTATTATTGGTTTGTAATGTATTGTTTCCATTTCTTGGAAAGGAAGCAGGTGGATAAATGAAGTTCAATAAGGCTGATTCCGTTAATGGGATAAGGCATAGCCTAAAATTGGGACCAGCCACTAAAGATAGTTGAAAAGGGAAGAAAGGGGAAGAAGAAGAGTTATCAACAAGATTGTTCCAACCAGATTCAACTGGCCAAGGTGGTCCAAAAAACTTAGATAGCAGGTGTGAAATTCCCGAAGTCCTTGTAAAAGTCATACTAACAACACATCTACCTTAACACAACAGCATATACATCAGAAGATTTTCACCAAAGGCTTTGTTTTGGGTTTTTGACAGAAAAATATTAACAAGCATTCTCAAAGTAGAAGCCTATAGCAAAAGGTAGCTTACTTCTTCCATCACTAGCTTGACGGACTCACTTATAATATTCATCAATCTGTCATCATCTACTCCACAATCTCGTATCTCTTGCACAGGAACATCGCCAACATCAGTTAAAATCCGCGGATCATTTAATTCTTTTCCTGCATTGTCCCAACATTGTGTTATACAGACAATTTGTATGGTCAAACAAGCATTCAAAATATGCTATCAAAGAAATATTAAATTGTAGCAAATTTTCAACCAGATCTGATTTGGGACTGAGGCGGTTTCACAATTTCCTAAAACTAAGTGGAAACTTTGTATTCAAAATGGGGGCCCATTTGCCACCATATGGTTAACTGTGACCATTTGATCTATTACTTGACTCTTTTATGTTCAACTTAAGATTTTCTATAGTCTATGTGGGTTTTTATTGTCAACTTTATTGGTTATGATATTCCCAATATGATCCATACAGGGGGCCTTGGGATCATGGGGATTTGGATTTGATAGCCGGAATTTCCATCATCTATTATTCCAATCAAGTAAGGGAGTAAGAACCACTTTATACTACAACTGCCTTGTGTGCAGACAGTGCAGGCCTGGTAGATATACACTTGACCTTTTAACATTATTTGTATGAAGTAAATGCCCTCAACAAACATGGTTCTCGTGCATGAAATCCTAACTTCTACAATTGAGCCAATAAATAGGCCCCTATTATTAATTTTATACATATACAAGTTCCATTATTCAACAGATGAACAGAGGATGCATGGCTAAGTAAAACCCATGGGGCCAGTACCTACAGTTACAGAAACTAAATATTCTACTAACGTATGGATTGACAACAAATTTGGGGCATCTATCCTCCATGGCCTCATAAAAGAAAGTTTCAAATGATTGGAATATTCACTGTAGTTTTTAATATACATGCATATATACACATACTTATTCATAGATATGGAGACCGTGAAGGTTCACAACAAAAGAAAATGTTTCAGAAGGACATATTCATTTCAGATATTGAAATCTTGTATGATAATTTAAATCTACATGATGTGGTATGAGATGAGTATGGTTCACCATCTCAAAATGCTAAAACAACACCACCGCATCCAAAAATCAACTAAATAGTCAGTGGAATATTTTTTTTAGTGTTCAATGTTTCTCTAACCGCGTACAACATGAATTTTACCTTCTTCAGTTGTGGCATTTGTGCTGCCACACCAGATTGCCTCCCTTATGCGAGGAGGAGCAAATGCTGGCCCTTGGAGAAATGATGAATTATGTCCTAGAGGAACTCCAAGAAGAGATGATGATGCTACGGCACCTCCCAAAGCCCGGACAAGCTCTCCCTAGGAAGAAGGAAATAGAAAAAAAACAGTCACCTTTAGTTCTCCTAAGCTCTATTGGCAGAAGTCAATCTCATGTAAGAAATAGAGCCAAAGTTCTTATATCATGATAAACTAAGTCTCCAAAGAGCTGCCTAGTAATTACTTCTCACCTGAAATCATATAAAAATGGGCATCTTTTCCGATTTACAGATCATAATTTGTTGAAATGTAATATTTTTATGTGCAATATGCAATCATGATAACATGTAATATTCTCCTAAGCAATCTGACTTGTTAACCTCCATCCTCTGAGGTCATAATTAAGGGAATGTCTTAACCATATTGAAACTTGAAAGAGCTATAAGCAAATTCATTGTCCTGAACAAAAAATAATTTTAAAATAGATGAGGCCAAACCTAATTATTATTGTATTATGTATAACTTCTGGTGCAATTTTAAAAAAAAAAGGTCAGGATGTCAAGTGTGACAACATGGGTTCAAGTTTGTAATGCCAAATTATAAGTCTATTCTATAATTATATTTGAAGAAAGGACATAAGCAAAATCATACTCGATTCAAAAGGAGTGGTATCTCATGATTAAGTAAAATTATTTAGAAATATAATTAAAAGAAATCATATTAAAAGGTTTATAGAAAAATAGAAGTTAAATTGACATTATTGGATAAGACTTGGGTTGAGTAAAGCTCCCATAAAAGTCTACACATGGGGGTTTTAAGTGGTAGAATCACATCAGGTATCCATAGTGAGACATACGTTTTAATATATTTGCATTTCTTTCCATGTCATACCAAGTGAGACATCATTTAGACATAACATAAAATGTTGAACTCAGATAATGCACATTTGCATAACTAGAGAATATAGTATTCTATGACACCATCATTACCTTAAGCTTTGCCCTCTCACGAATTAGAGTAAGGGATGCCTCTATAACACGATCCTGGCCCTTCTTTATCAAATCACTGGGAACTGCAGCATTCAGTTTATGCAAATAATGAAGTCCCATCCTACCAATGTTCCTCATGTCTGAAATTAAAAAATAAAAAAAGAATATCCATAATACGCAATTATGTAGGTTTGAAATATTAGTGGAAAGAGGAGATAATAACTAAAAACAAAAGTAAGCAGGTAACAATGTGATAGCAAGAAAACATTTTAATATGGTATAAAGAAGTACAAACTCTAGCTACATTTTAAACAGCAATCTAACCAAAACTATGCTTCAGATCAAAATATATCAAAGGATGGGAAAGATATTAAATTAAGCAAACTGCACTGCAATTTAATACATGTTGGCACATAATATACCATAATCAAATAAAAAATCTATTATAGACAACCCAAGACATGCTTGACTAGAAATTTGCAGATGTCATGTAGCGCATTGTATTCTACATTTAAAGTCGCAAACCCACTGCCCCACCACTTCTCCATTCATAAGACACCTCCCCAACCCAAAAAAAAATAAAGGCCAACATACACATACAGAGAGAGGAGGGTCCTATTAGGAAATACCTAATGGAAAAACTTCTGCAATGGACCTATGAACATAAACTTGGAAAGATTTGAACTGCTACAAGCAAACAGAATGGTGGAAGAAGATCCATGGCTGACCTCGTATTGTTGGAACAGGCCTTTATCAAATTGAACTTATGTGATTGATTGGTGAGATGTTTTTACAAGTTCAACCATTAAAATTGATCCCAAAGGGATAGACTAATGGTAGGACTCTCTCACCTCGCATCTTGGAGGTTGAGAATTCAATTACCATCGGACCACTGACAAAGAATCCCAGCCTTGTTTGGTGCATGTGAATGGGCGGCTACAAGTGCCCAGTTGTGGATTATGTGGTTGTTCTAAGAGACCCGACATCACCATCATCGCCATAAATAAATAAAGTTGCAATGAAACTCTAGAGTTAAAGGCATAAAGAAACATTTCTATGATTACATGGTGCAGGGAAATGCCTTTCAAATAAATCTCCAATTACCATTTTGTTTTCACATGTCATATCTTTTACCAATTATATATAAACGCTAATTCTATATGATCATCTCATATCAACAAATGCTAAAAATTGTAGTTTTCTGATGAATTAGATATCCTTCTGGTTAAAATTGCAACTACCAAGAATATGTTTTCTGATATTTATACTATTCTGAGTTAAATGATTCAACGCCACTCAAAAGAACCTCTTAAAATTTGTATGCTATAGACCAAGACAGCTAGTATATGGAAAAGAATTTATGATTAATCAAAAGTAACCACAATTGATACAGAAAATACACAACAATTCCTATAATTTTGGTTTGATCGTTTTTGCCAGTAGCACAAACTCAATAATACAAATTTCAGCAGCCAAGTTGCAACCACAACATTCTTATGAACAGCTAATGCTGTCAGAAACCTTTTTGGCAAAACCAAATTTTATTGCTTTATCCATCTCCAGATAACACGTATTCCATCCTGCTATATACACAAGAAGAAAAGGATAAAAGAGAAAACTCAACCAGGTCTTGTAAAGTTATTTGACTGAGACATACAGAATGGAGTTTTACAATTTCATCTTCCTGTGAACGAAACAGATAAGTTTCAAGAAATCACAATTCAAAATTGTAAAGTTGCTTGGGAACGTGTTTGCCTAATTCTTTCCATCATTTTTCCTAAATTTTCATGGCAAACAAACATCGCTCAAAATTAACTCAGTTATTCGGGCTTCTGAAAGAAAATAACCTACGTGTACATAGAAACATACACTTACACACAAATCTAAAACCATTAGCACCTGAATTAGACCGATTATTACTCTCTAATCCGTAATTAAATCGGCAGTGTTGTATCAATTATATGGGCTTTTACTATTCAAATCACAAACATATCGTAACAAATTTCATTAGCGGAAACAAATGATATTCGCAGAGATGATAAGAAATAAAGAGTACTGTAATGAGGAAACAGAGGTGAAAACAACCGTACCTAGAGAGAGAATTCGATGAGAGAGAACGAAGAAGCGCGAATGATTGGGTTGAGACAGAGAGCAAAAAGAGATGAAGATGACGATGAAGAAAGTGGGCAGAGCTTTGGCGTTAATATAAGGAGAGAGAGGTGGAGCTAGCTAACGTGTGCAGCTTTTTTTGCTGTGTAATTTGCAGCGAATAGAGCAAACAGTTCACTTCTTGGTTGTCCCACTCACTGATTAAGATAATCTTTGAGATTATAATATACCGAATAATGAATACCTGGATTTAGTATTTTATTGGGCCCACGTTCCATAATGAAATGGTTATTAATTTATTCTTATTATTATTATAAATTACGTATTCCCTCCGTCTCACACTAGAGATTTATTTTAAAAAATTAGAGTTTTTAAAGAGATATACATTTAACACATTGTTTTTTTTTTAAATTATTAACTTGTTATTTTTAATTTAAATATATATAATTATAAAATTTGAAATTTTTTTTTTAAAATAAAAGATAATAATAAAAATATAAAATTTATTTGTTTTGACTTTTTAAAGATAATAATTAATTTAGAACATGTAAAAAGAAGATAATAGATTATTAATATGCAACGAAAAGAGAAGTATTTTTTTTTCAAATAATGGTAATGCTCTTTAATGTGGTCAATGCAAGGATGATAAGAATGGTGATCTGTTTAATTGTCAAAAAAGGAGAATGTTGGATTGCTTAGTCAAGCCATAATAAATAGCACTAAAGCGACAAACAAACGATTCCCAATTCTGCAACTGACGTCACGCGCTTTCTGGGACGATCGTGATGTCGGACAGAAACCGCTTGGTAAAATGCGCCATTAGGTCTATCACGCACTCCTATGTAACCACTAACGTCCGTGAATGGAAGGCTGAGACTCATGGGCTTAGCCTTCTTACACCGAATTATCTGATTCATGGGCCGTTTTGGGGGCCTTTCTCTAAAGTCCAATCTGTATATTAGAGCCATACGTAACCCAATGGGATTCCACCGTAATTTTCAATTTCATTTTTTTATTTATTTTTTTTATTTTATTATTATGAAATTTGCCCTTTCTTTGTACCATTAGAAGCAAGAATTTATTATTATTTGATTAATGAGTGTCAAAGCCCTCATCACACTTGAATCCCAGTGGGTTTAGCGTTTGAAATGTCTTTGCAATAGTAGTAAGGGCAAAGATGGTATCATAAGAAGCAACAATTTTAGTATATCAAGTGCAAAAAACATCATTCAAGTATGTTTATAATGCATATCACATCCATCAAGTTTCAATTTGGTATACTTAGGTCCCCTAACATATTTAAAATTTAAATTGACCAAATTACCCTGAATAATTTTATAAAATATATAAAAATAAATTTTTTAGTGAAAAGATAAAAAAAGACACTATTTTCCCGATCATCTCTTCAACTCTGCCATCGCCTCCTCTTCCTGCTCCCCACACAAGACCTGGTTCTTCTTTGCTTTGCTTCGCTTCTTGTCTTTGACTTGGGTGGGAGTCTGCCACAACAGTTAGCATCCTCACCCAAATGGCCTTTTAACTAATATTAATTATATCTCTATCACTATATTCATAATATATGTATGTATAAACTATTATTATATATATACATTTACATATAAAAAGTGACCATCTCTTTAACATTCTTAATGTTTCTCAAACCTCTGTTAATTGCTTCAGAAACACCAAGAACGCCAGCAACATCACCAGGCTCGAAAGACCACACGGCGCGTGTTCCTTGGGGATTTCAGAGACGCCGCTATCATGCACACCGTCACTCCGACCAAGATTCAGATCGGAGAAGCTTCTTCGCTCCGGCCAAACTCCGGTCTTGAAAACACCGACGATGACATTGGATCCGTAATTAGATTTCGGCCAGAGATCGCGCTAGTTTCTTAGGCTGAGAAATTGCGTTGAGTGTGTGGTGTGGCGGCATCTTGGCGGTCAGAACTTGCAATGACCGGTGAGTACGTGGTGTGGCGTCGGCAAAGTCTTCCACTGCCTGCTTATTGGAAACAGTTTATGTAAAACAACATGGTAAACCGAGTCAATTAGCAGTGTTAATTGTTATTGAAATAAAAACTAATGGCACTGTCAAAATCCATAAAATTTGGTATATTATGTAATGGTAAAAAGGCAGATATACCTGGGATTTCCTAATACAGGCTTACATTGTTAATCACAAAAGCTTTAAAAAATCCCATCTTATTCCGTGAAATAAAAGGATCATTCACAAAGATTCAAATAAAAAAACCAAGGAAGAAATATCTTGGAGTATTTTTCTTTTCATATTAACCAAAATTACAAATATTCTGTTCACATAATTTAAGGGTCAAAACATTGGATTAAGGGATTGGAGGTTCTTATAATGTTTGGCAATAAAAATAGTGAGACAAATGTTTCTCAGCCCCACGAGACCATAGTGAGTGCTATGAGTACCCTTAACCACCCACTAATTGTGATTTCGTTCTTCCTATGTGTGGTTTGATTAAACCTTAAACCAATGAACATGTAATTTCGAAGAGAGAGACAGCAGGGGTGAGTGTTTTGATTAAGCTTAAATCTAATGGATTTTGTAGAGAGTGAGCAGGGTTGTGAGAAGAGAGTGGTGATGGCGAGAGTTAAGACTTGATGGTAGAGAGAGTAACGGTGTTGTTTTGGGCTTTCTGCAGGGGCATTTTGGGAAAAATAAAAGGGTAAAATGGGTATTACATTCCTAATTAATGTTAGAGGGGTAATTTTGCAATTAGGGGTGTTTATTGCACACATTTTCAAATAGGGGGTAAAAGTGCTACGAAATGTATACTTTAGGGGTGTTTTCTGCATTTACCCCATCAATAAAAGAAGTTTTGGTATGAACTATAAAGGCTTTCATCACTTCCTAATTCACGTGATCCATCTTTTAATCTAATAACGATGATGACCATTTTGTTGGATTTTATAATGTTGTGGGGTGAACTTTTAAAATTAACAAAAACACATAAAAAGTAGCATTTTTACTCAACTTATAACTACTCTTATATAAGGAGTTATGGTTGGAATTAATGATCGCAACGGGGCGGGTTTGGAACGGGTTTCCTTAAATCCATACCCGCCTTGCTTGATTATATATAAACCCGTCCCCGCCCCGTACCCAGGACGGGTTGAATTTTAACAATCCGTCTCCGCCCCGCTGGGAGATGAGAGAGCCCGTGCCTGTCACGTTAACGGTTTATCATATACATCAACCAAAAAAAAAAAATTATAATCACAAATCTGAGAGCAATTAGTTTTAAAAATCTAGGGCAAAAATTGAATACTGAACAAGTCTTGCAACACAGAAAGTTTCATTCTTAAAAGTTTGCTATTACTTTTTCCTTGCTTAGATTTCCTGAATCCTTTTAGAACTTTAAAAAATAAAAAAAATAAAAATCTATTAACTTAGAGCAATTAGAATATAACTTCAAAATTACTCTAGTATTAACATTTTATTCAATTTGCTAGTAACAAGCATACATACAAAATCATTAATCTAAAATCTAAATATAACCACACAAAATCAAATCCACAATAAACAAAGAACCAAAATCAAATTCAGTATAGTCATTAACATCTGATTATGACTACTGATAATAACAACATGGTCACTTCATATTCAAATTATTCAAAAAAAAAAAAAATTCTCTTAGCCAGAAAAAAAAGAAAAAAGAAGTTGAAGTAAAAAAAAGAAAGACGAGTGAGGACATAAACCAGTGAGGGTGGAGATATAGAAAGAGACGGAGAGATCTTATCGAACCAGATGGCAAAGAGAGATGAAGCCGAATCACTGATCTTTTAGTTGTGTTGAGAAAAAAGGTTGTGGTCGATTGGTGGTGATTGCCCGAGTATTTGATGACCGGTGAGGGAGAGAAAGATTGTTTGGTTTTTTACTTTCCTTGATGCGCCGCTCTAGTTTATGGATAATTGATAAGCCTCATATACTTAAGTTAGGGTTGTGAGTTATTTTATATATATATATATATATATATATGCAAGGCGGGGCGGATATGTATTAGAACCCGTCCCCGCCCCATAACCCGCGACAGGTACAAAAATTAAACCCATGCCCTCCCCAACGGTACAAAAATTAAACCCATACCCCTAGTTGGAATTGCAATGCAAAACATAACAATTTATCTAACAATGAGCATAATTAATTTAGGATAAAATTGTAATTTAACAGCCATTCAAACTCAAAGTATGTTAAACGAAATCAGGTAAAATTTGGAAACGAAATCCTCAACGAAGTGAAGACTACTTAAGGCATATGGAAGTGTAATGGCCTAACACGTTAAAGTGCATGGTGGTGCGATGATGGAGCTGTAAAGATCCTACGTTAGGGCGTTTAAAAGCATGTGATTACCATCGATGGTGTGTGGTGGCACGGTGACGGAGTTGTAAAGATCCGAAACATTGGGGAAACGCGTATGTGATTACTGCTGATGACGCGTGGCAGCCCAATCACAAAGTTGTGAAGATTCGACACATTGGGTTCTTAGAAGTGTGTGATTACTGCTGATGGTGCGTGGTGGCGCAGTGCCGGAGTTGTACAAGGTCTGACACGTTAAGGCACTTGGAAGCACTGGATTACCATTGATGGCGCGTAGCGGCGCAGTGGTGCAGCGGTAAAGGTTTGACACATTTAGGGCAGATGAATGCACACAATTACCACTAATGATGAGTGATGATGCACGTGCAATGTCCCAGCGGTGAATATCCAGCATGTTGAGAGGCTTGATGTTTTGACGGCTTGCGGCATTATTGAATGCATATGTGAGTGGATGGTGGAAAATAATTTGTATATATTGATTACGCCTGGGGATAGGGATGGGGATGATGATGCCATCTGCATGGTGAAGATGGACTGTAAACATACGATATTAGTAATTTTTCACTTTTGGAATTCTATGAAATTTTAATGTTGCTCCCGTGTCCGTCCTTGATTGAGAAGACTATCCCCACACACAGTATCTTGTGTCTGTCCCTGATTGAGAAGACTATCAATGAAAGACTTGACTTGATACCATGTTAAATGAGAGAGAATATAAGCGTTTAAGAGAAAATTTGAAGGTAGGTGAGTGGTAATCGAGTGAGTACGAGAATAAACTTGTAATCTAACCATTAAAGACATATATTTAGAAAACAAAAAAAAACAAAATAATAAACTGACAAATCCTATTAGTTGTACGGAAAAATAATCAATAAACATGGAGGAAGTTAGTGTACTACTTTAGCTTGCTATTTCGTCAATTATCAACAATATTAGTGTTTGTACACTAAATTTAATTTTCAATTCAGATACATACTGTTGGTTGATTGAAGGAAAAAATATTAATTCAGACACATGTCATTAGTTGATTGGAAGAAGAGATGTGTCATTTTAGTGATAATAATTTAATATTGCTCTCATAAAAGACTCTTATTTAAAATTGAAGACTAAAATTCACATGTGGCAATCCATTAACAACATAGTTTAATGCATGTCTTTTAAGGGTAAACTGCAGACAAGTTTTTATTCAAAATTCAAACTCTTTGGTTTCATGCATGTCTTTAAGGATAAACTCCAGACAAGTTTTTATTCAAATTCAAACAAAGAGTTTGAATTCAAGAGTGCCACGCCATGAAGGAGTTTTATTCCACACAAGGCATTGAAGGGAAACACGTGCATTTGGATAAACTGACGACAAAAAGGAGTGCATTTGGATAATCTTAAGACAAAAGGAGTTTTGAATTCAAATATAATATTTGAATTTGAAAAAGAAAGTACTGAAAGTAACTGCTGCTCCAGAATAGCACCATGAATAGCACCATGGGGGCTTTGTGCAAAAGGTCCACGACCACAACAATATTTCATTCTCTGCAATTTACTTAATCTTTCATTTGTATTGTATTTCTTTTATTAGGAGTTTTACTTAGTATTTCCTTTGCATTGTAATTTTTTTTCTTAGGAGTAGTATTAGAATCCAACACTTCTTATACTTTGTATGAGAATCCTACTTATGAAATAAAAAGTCAAACGCTTGGCTTCAATCCCCTCTACTTTTATTTTCTAAGTCTCTTGAATGTGTAGTTTATTTTACTCCCTTCATTCATTCCACTTTTAGTGCTGAAAGTCCTCTTTATTGAGGTGTCGAAGAACCTGAAGAAAATGATCATCCTTGCCTTCCAGCAGTCGCCTGATTCATAAAGGGCTGATTATGAATTTGGTCAACGCCAAGGATAGTTTGGCTATCCAACCCCTTTGAGTTGAAAGACTTTGGCACGCCCTTAAAATAAATAAATAAATAAAGAGTCAAACAATTAGGGATATCAATTTTGTCAATCTCACTAATGGGAGGTGCATATGAGGCCTTTTTGTTATGAAAACAAAGGCAGGCATGAGAAAAAAAAAAAAAAAAATTTTAATTTGTTATGGGTTACGGGGCGGGATGGGGTTTGATAAAAACCCGCCCTGCATTGCCCCTTATATATATATATATATAATTATTAAGAGTATTAAATTAACCTAATTCAACAAACCCTCACTAATATGCTTTTAATATTACGTATTCTTTTGGAACTTAGAGCGTCTCCAATGCAAAATATTATTTGAGAGGAACTACAGTGTCAAAATGTTATATTTTAATAGTTCTACTCCAATGGTGCATTTCATCCAAAATACTATTTGAAGTGCATTATTTTCATGCACGTGCTATATTTTGATAAACAGCATTGTATGAGAAAAAAGAGACATCTCAAAAAATTTTGAGTGCTCTAAAAATATGAGAGCTCTTTTGAGAGCATATTGAAATGTATTATTTTCATTCAGATGTTATATTTTGGCTTTGTGAGGGTATTCGAGATGTTTTAATTTAAGAAGTTATTTAGCGGGTTGACCCGATTCAGCAAACAGACCCAAAGTAGAGTACATGGATCACCTGAAAATTGGGTCCTGAATGTGTGGAACATTCCAAAAACTTCTTGGGTAGAAAAAGCTATGAAAAAATCGATTGAAACACAAAGAAGATAGGCATCAAAAGATGCCACGCTTTTGTTACAGGCTTCATCTATCTCTCGACCATCCCCACCGCTTCCTCTTCGCATACACCTCCGTCCTCCTCCCCAGCACCACCACCGTCACCACAAAATCAAGAACACCAATTCTCAGTATGTCCCTATCATCCTCATCGTCACTACCATCATCAACATCACCTTCTACACAACAAGACCCAGACCATCAAAAGCATTTGTTAACCGAAGTCCTGAAATACCACGACCAGACCAAACACTCCTTCACCAACTACGCCAGAGGCCCTCGCGGCCTTGACTGGGCCAACCAACCCAACCCATTTCGCCGCTACATCTCTGCCCCTCTCATCCCTCTCCAACACCTCCCAATAGACGATCCCAATTCATCAACCATTGACACTCCACCGTACTCCTCTGTCTTCAACTCTCTTCCATCTCCGAAACCCATCTCCAAATGCACCATTTCTCAGTTCCTCTACGACTCTCTCGCTCTATCAGCTTGGAAAACAACTGGGTTTTCAACCTGGTCGCTTCGCGTCAATCCCAGCAGTGGCAATCTCCATCCAACGGAGGCCTATGTCATATCCCCTCCAATTGAAACGGTCTCCAATTCGCCTTTCGTGGCTCATTACGCCCCGAAAGAGCATTCATTGGAGATCAGGACCCAAATACCATCTGGGTTTTTGCCCAAATATTTCCCAAAAGGCTCTTTTCTTGTAGGGTTTTCGTCCATTTTCTGGCGTGAAGCCTGGAAATACGGCGAAAGGGCGTTTCGGTACTGTAATCACGATGTGGGTCATGCCATTGCAGCGGTTTCGATGGCCGCCGCGGGGCTTGGTTGGGAGGTGAAGCTTTTAGATGGGTTAGGTTATGTGGATTTGGAAAAACTTATGGGTCTTGAATTCTTTCCGGAGTTCAAAGTTCCGGCAAGACCAGTAGGGGGAAAGCTCCCTGAGATTGAATTTGAGCACCCGGATTGTGCTCTTGTTGTTTTTCCAAATGGTTCTGGTGGTTTTGATGTGAATTATGAGGAATTGAGTCTGGCAATATCGGAATTTTCAAAATTGGAATGGAAGGGAAAGCCTAATTTGCTCAGTAAAGAGCATCTTTGTTGGGACATAATATATAGAACAGCAGAGGCTGTGAAGAAGCCATTAGAGGTAGAAAATAAGTTGATGGTTGATCCATTTCAGAGTAGTTCGTTGTTTAGTGAAGGTTCATATAAAGGTTTCACTTTGAGAGAGGTTGTTAGGAAGCGTAGGAGTGCTGTTGATATGGATGGACTTACTGTAATGGAGAGAGGAACATTCTATCAAATTTTATTGCATTGTGTTCCTTCCGGTCATCGAAATGGAGAGAAGCATAAGAAACAACTGGCATTGCCATTTCGGGCTCTGCCTTGGGATTCTGAGGTGCATGCTGTTATGTTTGTTAACAGGGTTGCTGGATTGCCAAAGGGTTTGTATTTCTTGGTGAGGAATGAAGACCATTTTGATGATCTTAAGAAAGCTACAAGGTCCAATTTCAAGTGGGAGAAACCAGAGGGTTGCCCTGATGATTTACCTTTATACGAACTTGCAAGAGGTGATTATCGGGAGATTGCCAAACGGCTTTCGTGCCATCAGGTGTGTCAATTATGAAGTGATTCCGTACTTCTTGAGTCTTTTTACATTATGTAGCTATGCTCATCTAGTTCTCAAATGCTACGACATAGACACAGTGACACGATAGAATTGTTGATATTGTCATCAGTTTTTCTTACTGTCTTACACCCTGTAGTTAATAATAAGTCTATGTAATGTCATTTCAAATAACCATCTTACTCAAGAACATAACAGGCATCCTAGGTAAACTAGAATACTTCCTCTTTCTCTTTGCTGAATGTACACATTTAGGATGTGCCTGTTGCACAGATATATTACATCCACATTCATGTCATTTCCTCTTTATATTTTATTATTCTTCTCAAAGTATCCATTTTGTGGACGGTGGTTGCAATGGTTATATTGATTCATGAACTGTAGCAGGAATAGATTGTCAAATATCTTGTAATTTGTGACTAAGCATTGAGAACAATTACCAAACTATAAACATTATGGATAAAGACAAGATGAACTATGGTACTGCATTTTTTTAGAAGAAGTGGGTGGACGATTATCAACTGAAGGAGTTGTGGGATTAAATTAATACTGCAAACATTTTATATTTATTCAGGATTTTTTTTTTTTTCAAGTTGTTGATCTTGCATAAACACTGCAACAGATAAAGTTTAAAGTATACTAATATTTTACCATGTATATTTATTTATTTTTTATATAATTAAACTATGAATTATTCTTGAGCAGTATCTGAATCTAAAAACACTCAGTATTTTATGAAATCCAAGTTAGTCTCTATGTCCTTTATTACTCGATTCCCAAGTTTGATACTCTTTTCTAGCAATACCCTTTATTTTTTGGAATAAAGGAGTTCTAAAAGGTGACCTGGGCAAACTTCCTAACTTCTTGATTAATCATTTTTGTGTATATGCAGGACATTGCTGGTGATGGCTGCTTCAGCCTTGGTATGGTGGCTCATTTTGAACCTACGATGCGCGAAAAGGGTGTGTGGATGTATCCTCGATTGTTTTGGGAAACTGGAATTCTGGGCCAGGTGTTGTACTTGGAAGCGCATGCAGTTGGCATCTCTGCTACTGGAATTGGCTGTTTCTTTGATGATCCTGGTATGTACTTGTATTTTATAGGCCTCTCATTTCTGCTACTGGAATTAGTTGCTTCTTTGATAATCCTAGTATGTGCTTGTATTTTTAACCATCTTTCTGCTTAGGACTTTAGATTTCATATGCATTAATGCTTAGGCTCATGGTGATTTCATATGCATTAATGCTTAGGCCCATGGTTGTCACATGGACTGTTAGTGTAGGCATCGGTGTTCTACATGCAGGCTGAAATTTAGTAGAAGCAGTGGTTTGTTTTGGATTTTACATAGTATTTACTTTGAAAAAAATGAACTTCCCAATTTTTTGAGATGTATAGAAATTTGTTTTGATGAACTGGCCTTATATGAATATGGAAGTGTTGTAGAAGAAGTATGTATGTAAAATTGATGAGGACATCGTTATGTTGTGGTTTCTCTTATTTGGAATCAGGTTGTTGTGCATTAATGCCTAGGCTCATAGTTGTCGCATGGACTGTTAGTGTAGGCATAGGTGTTCCACATGCAGGCTGAACTTTATTAGAAGCAGTGGTTCGATTTGGATTTTACATAGTATTTACTTCGAGAAAATTATGAATTCCAAATTATTTGAGAATCTGAGATGTATAGAAAATTGTTTTGATGAACAGGCCTTATATAAGTGTTGTAGAAGAAGTATGCACGTAAAATTGATAAGGACATCATTATGTTGTGGTTTCTCTTAATATGGAATCAGGTTGTTGTGCCAGAAGAAACCCAAAAAAAATTGGAAAAAAAAAACCCAAGTAGCGGATGAAACAATTTATTATTTGAAGTATGACTGCACTTTAGTAGAAGAACTATGTGGTTCACAGAAATTCTGAATATTATTTAGGTAAGCAAGTAATGGATGAGACGATTTATTATTTGAAGTGTAACTGCTCTATAGTAGAACTATGTAGTTCTTCCTCACCAGTTGGCACATCACAAGAACTTAGTTTTCAAGAGCTGACCTCACAAACAGCCGAAGTCATGGAGCACCATCTTGGATGATAGAGATCTCCAGCCTTTGAGAACTCAGAAATCTTTGGTTGTGGAACAGACAATCTTAAAATTTTCTCCCATAAAGATATTGTCTAATCATCATGGACTATGCCCGCAAAAGTCACTCCCAAATTCTTAAGAAATTGCAATCATTGAGTCATGTCAAACGTTCTACCCAAGAGTTGCACTTACAATTTTCAGTCTCTGAAAAGCAACTGGCACTACTCCCTTAGAAGCCTGAAGCATGTGAAGCAGCTACATTGACAGCTCTAAACTCCGAAATAGCATCATTTTGAAGATATATCTGATGCTCCCTTTATAATCACTTATAAATTTCTAACTTGACAGGGATCCCTTTATTTTATTTTTATTTTTTACAAGGAGACACCATTAATAAAGTTTCATTCTCAGAGTTGATAGATTATATATTAGTGTCACTTCATGATCAAAGCATCTATGAGCCAAAATGCTGAAGTAGATCTCCTGAAAGGCCAACTGCTTGACATGATCCCAAGTTGACACTTGTTCGCCCCTTTCCAGGTTCATCACATGGAAAACAAAATGGGCCTTTTCATGTAATGTGTTTGAGGAATATCCTTATACCTTCCTTCCTATTTTTCATCCAGATGCAATGAAGGGAAGGATCTGTGGTAATTTTTTTTTAATAAAAAAAAAAATTGGTATGATGCCTACCAAACAAGGAAGCAGGACCTATTGAGTTAGTGTTTCAACATGGAAAATTTTTATTTTCTAAACTCTTTATTATTTGCTGCTTCCTAGTATAGATTATTATTCTAGTGTGACAGACGAGTTATAACCATGAATCAGTTCAAGGCAGACCTAAAATCTACAAGTGAGCCACAACCCTAACCAACCTTCTCCCAACTATTTGGAGTCAACATTTTGTGTTGTTTCAACCCACCTTACTTTTCGTCTTCTCCTTGTCCTTGCATCTGTCTCATTGTAGACCGTGAAGCATCTATTAATATATAAAAGACCAGCTAGTCTCCTACATTTAGAGACGGTTATCAGACCAATATTTCAAATACTTTTCAAATTATTCATGTTTATTTATTTTCATTAAAGAAATAAAAGGTCAAGTGATAATTTAACGAGTTTTAACTGTGCCACATCAACCTTAACTCTCTCACTTCCTATTCCTACTTCAAGGTCTTCAATTTCGTCTACCACTCTTGACATTCATGGTCACGCATGTGCAGCAGTTCCAATAGAGGGAAGGACAAATTCACTTTGAAAAGTTAGCTCAAGATTACAACCAAATAATTACGTGTAACAAGCCTAAGCCTAGGTCACCATAGATCTATTTGCCTGTGTGATAGAATGTGCAATGGACCATAGATCTATTTTCTTGTGTGATAGAATGTGCAATGGACCATAGTAGTTTCAATGTCTCGCATGTTGCATACACATGGCTCAAATGTTAGCGCAACTAAAATTTTCTTTTGTTGATCTTTGGCAGTGCATGAGGTTCTTGGACTGAAAGGGGCAAACTTTCAGAGCCTGTATCATTTTACAGTTGGAGGTCCAGTTCTTGACAAGCGGATAATGAGCCTACCTGCATATCCAGGCCCTGGTGTTGATGCATGATTCAGATAACATCGTTAACCTAAGCTGACCTATTTTTCATCTTCTCAGCACAGTTTCAACACAATTCCAATACATCATTACATTGATTGGACAAATGCACTTTTTCCATATGGTTTAGTATTTGGTAAGTTCTTGCCTGTATGGCTGTATTGTACATCTCCTGACTTACTACTGTAAATTTTCTTTGAATTTTCCTTCTTTCTTGTCCACAATCAAAGGGTTAGTTATTATTATTATTATTATTTTTTTCACAATACCTAATATTAGTTAATTTGTAAATTTGCAATGCAACAAGGATTGCTGCTTATGAGCATTGATTGTCAAGTCAAGAAGAGTGGCCTTCATGCAAATTTCTTAATCATCATACATGTCTGAGTTATCTCTTTGAGTTTCATTACTACTTCACAATTACGTTAATGAAGTATCAACGTCCTCAGGAAGCTACCGTGTGTCAGTTTTTTGTGTGCAATAGATGAAACCCAAGCTGGTTTACTAAAGTTGACACCAAAATATGGCATATATACTTTCAAGCTTTAATGCAGGAAAATCTCACTCCATATAACTCATGTACAATTTATCAAGCTTGCAATTATGTATATATGCGTTTGTGTCAAATTGACTGGATGCAAGCATAATTATTCATGTTCAAAGCTCGTATGTGGAAGAAGTGAAACTTGTGAAAGGTTTAGGTTGGAGTGAGATGAAGCCTTTTAAATGAGTTTCCACTGTACTAATAACTCTGGAAATAGTTCAAATAAACAACCAGAAACGAATAGAAGCATTCTTGAAAACTTGAAATGAAAAATATGAGTCACCAACAAACTGATATCTGACAATGAAAATAACTGAATCATACTGAGATGTGACAATGGAGAAAACTGAATCATACAGTTGCTCCGTAAACCGACAATAATTCCTTCCAGAAGCCTGTTTGCTGGAAAATAGAAATCAAAGCAGCAGTAGTAATTCTGGCATTCTTTTGGGAGAGAAGGAAATCTGATATGCCGACTCTAAATAGTTGAGAAAAGGGTTTTGTTGGGTTGAACCGCAGATGGAAATGTAGGATAATCTATAGATGGCACCATCATCCGCAGCCTTACATTTGCACCAAATGCTAAGAGAACTCTAATATAGGCTGGAGATGTTGTATCTTCTCAAGCTCCGACTGAACATAGATATTGAATTAACATCTTCTAAAGTTGGCATATCAAAGACACTGAACATTTGATTCCCCACAATTAAGTCCCACTTTAAGCAAGATGCTCACAATATATATAGTCACCCTTCCTTGAGTTTGATTACCAATAGTTGGGCAGCTATATACCTTGATCTGTTGAAGGAAGTTATGGAAAGAGGAACGATACCAATCAAACAGTTTCAGGAAGATGAATCATGTTTAAGAACAGCATGAAGTAACTATTCTCCTGGCATCCCAAATTGGATTAGATCCTGATGGCAAAGTACCCATGATAACATACCGACTATAAAATGCCTCGGACAATGCCAGCAGGCATCTATGACAACGAAAAAACTGCTGACATGTTTATATAAACTTGACTAACTGCTTGTCATTCCACTCTTTCAATAGCCATAAAAAAAACCATTAACTTGGTAGGTCTTCTCTCACTTTCTCATCCCCAAATTCTTTTGGCATCCTTCTTTTACTTGTAGGCCTTTAAACATGTACCATGTTGCTCCTGCGGGTGCATTAAAGTCCTCACAAGTCCTGACCAGCCCTTATAATGCTTGTACACCTCCAAATCATTCAATAGCATTATAGAGAGCACAATGTTACAAGAATATAGGGAACAGATCTATTTCAAAATCAATGGGGTTATTCAACCCAATAATGTTATCCATTTCGTACTTAAACGAATCCAGGAAAAGACCCATAGAAAGCCCAGCCTTCCAATAATTGAACATAGTGACCAGTCTCCTAGCCTTACCGAATAAAGGAAGAGAAGCCTTATACATAAGGGCCCCAATTCCCTCCACTATAGCCACGGCCAAAGCAGCGGACAGAATATCCCAATCACCTGTTTGCCCTATAACAGTGGCGAAGGCAGTTGCACAATAAAAGCCCACTAAGAAAAACAGTAATTTCATTGGAAGACCTCTCCTTAACTCTTTGATTCTTGCAAGTAATTTAATACGGAAAGCTTGGATAGCCCTATTAAGCCGGGTCCCTCCGTTGATGTTATTTGTAGGAGAAGGATCCAATCTGCTGCCATCTGCACTGCTCCTAATAGACCAGGCCAATTTCCTATACAATTTGAAAACGGAAACTTCTGATTATGGACAAATTTCATATTATGAGGATAGCTTTAGCAAACAATCCAGTATGCCACAGGGCCCACAACAGTCTTTTGATGCAGGGGTGGATCCAAAAAAATTAAATTGGAGGAACTGAATTAGTAAAAAAAATAACGGTTACAAAAATTATAGAACGTAATATTTTTCCTAATAATAGAATCTCCCAGGGTGAATCTAAGAAGATTCTTTATAAAGCAAAAGCATTTCATAACTTGCCAAGTACACAAAATAAAAAGAATAATAGGTACAGTAGTTGTATTCGAAATTTTGTCCTGCTCCTTCAAATGTAGATTTTCAAAAACAAGACTCGAGAGTCTTACTCAAATTGAAATTTTTATAAGTTTTGGGGGCACATATTAAATCATTTTAGTATATTGTGACTCAGTATTTATAGGAGGCCCATTTTTCAGGAATTTTACACAATTTTGGAGGGGCCTCATGTTAAATATTTTTACTATTTTATAACACTATTTATGGGAGGCTTATTGTAACGTGCGACCCGAACTCGCAACTCCCTCGTTGTCGGTTGGTCCACCCTGCCTACTCAGGTTGACCACCCGAATGCCCTCCGGGCCTGGCGCTTGGCGTGACACTGGATCAAGGAATGGGTCTGGGTCTAACTCTAATACCAACTGTAACGGGTGGGTGCTTGCCCATTTACCAAAAAATAAGGGTGAGCAAATAATCCGTCAATCTGGTCCGAACCAATCCGATCCGTGTGGTTCGGTTCGATGATGGTTTAGAAAAATAGCAATCCATTAACCAAACAGTGGTTCGGTGATGGTTTAGAAAAATAGTAATCCGTTATTCGTTGTCGGTTAACGTAACCGAACCAATCCAATTCATTACCTTAATTATATATATATATATATATATATATACTTACTGTATTTCTATTTTTTTTTTTTATTCATTATTTAAGACTTTAAGTTAACCCTAGGTCGCCAAAGTCATTAGTCATTATAGGTTTTTAATTACTAATTTGAGATTTTAATGGGTCATAAAGTGTAATCATATTGGGCTGTTTAAAAAGCCCAATCTGTTGAAACCGAACCGAACCGATCCGTTATTTCACGTATCGGTTTGGTCCGGACTGAAGGTCCCCGCGGATCGGTTTAGTTTCAAATTTCACCAATCCGTGAGGACCGAATTGGATTGAACTTTACCCCCAAACTGAACCGATCCGATCCGTGATCAGCCGTACCAAAAAACCTAAGCTATTAGGTGGGGCTAACACCCAACCCATATATACCCAATCCCTCTCCCATCCGGATCCGATGTGGGACAAACTCTTCCTTGTTGCACTTATCTTCTAGAGATTTTGGTTATTATTCTTTTTCAGGCATGATGGGGAGAACACCCCTATCGTGTCTGTTAATAGTTATGTCCCTGTTTTGACTTTTGATGCTTATTAAACCAAAGATAGAAAAAAAAAAAAAAGGAGTAACAAGTCAATGGGTATAGTTACTTGGAATTATTGGCAAAAGAAGGTTGAGCTGCATGAAATAAATGAAGCTGAGAATGCAGTCCCTTGCGAAAGCCAAAAGCAGTCTTGTGGATGCAATCGACAAGGGCCCAAGTGAGAGATCTTGATCCGCAACAACTAGGAGCTGGAAGTTCAGCATTTGCTGAATAGACAGACGATGGCATTTTAGTTGCCATTACCATATGGAAACCTGCAAATGAAAATTTATGATGATGTATGATAACTATCAAAGGGCAGCAGAAAGTGAAACAGCAGACAACCAGAAAATTATAGAAAGTGATGATATCCTAATATAATTAAATAATATCTGCCTACTCAGTGGTATAAAATCAAATTATATTCATAGACAAAATTTCACTAATTTGGGTTTTTATAATCTTTCACAAACAAGGAGTGTCCCCTCTCAAGAAGGTTTTAAAGTTCCCTTTTGTCGCATAAATTACAAAAGTATAAATATAGTAGCAGTATATTCCGATTGGAAGTGATGACAGATGATTGAAAACAGGGCCACCCAACCTTTAGCTGCCTTCCCCTGCCAAAAAACTAAAAAAAGGAAGAAAAAAGACAAGCAGACACTTTAAAAAAAAGAAGTGATAGAAAGGTATAAAATAAAATGCAGCACACCAGGCATCTATACCATGACCAAGAACCTCTTGGGTAAATTGTAGCTAGTTTGTTTCCCCTGTCACATAAATGAAATCTAGTGCTCTTTTAGAAAAAGACTAATATGGTTAACACTCCACCTAAGGACTGAAGTGCGTGAATCACAATTATTGTAACTTTCCACACGAAACCCAATAGGCAAATGCCATTCTTCTCATCTGTTAACATTTATGCCCCCCAACTAAAAATTGCTAGAGCTTGTGGACAGTGTTATAAAAGGCCCAAGGCGCACTAAGGCGGTAGAGGTCCTTTGGAGCCTAGGCGCAAGGCAAGGTGCGCGCCTAAGTGAAGTAAAGCGCACAATGAAAAAACTAAATTACTATTAGAGAATCAAATGTTGTCAAAGCCGCACCTAGGCACACAACAGGCACTTGTATGAGCCTGCAGCCTAGGCGCGCCTTTAACAACACTGGTTGTGGACTATGAATAGTTCTTCAGCCATGTGGAAAACTACATAATTCTATACATTCAGCAGTTTTTCGTACTGAGGATTCTTTATTTTTCTTCTTTCATCATCATCCCTTGCTTTAATCCCATGTAAATAGGGTCGTCCACAAGAATTCTCTTTTTCCATTCTTTTTTATTATAACCCATCTCTCCTATAAGCCAATCTATGATACTTGGAATGGTATCTTTCTTGGCAGAAGCTAGGGTTTTAGCTTGGTGTGATTTGGGCGATTGGGCTATCAGCACGGCTGATCATTTAATTCTCCAATCGTACCCCTCTTGGACAGACCAAGTAATCTTGAACAGACCTAGAGCTCCAGCGATTCCAGCCCAGACCTCCGACGACTACACCAATACGTTGCTTGCTTTCTTTACTCTACACACACACACACATATATATATGTGCAAACTCTAGCAATTGAGACAGTTATATACGGCCGCATATATATACACATAAACTGATATCTATATATATACGGATTGCTATATATAACAGGTACACTGATGTATACACATGCACTTATATATGGCTGCATATGTATACACATTGATCCCTCTTTCTCTAGATATATACACTGATAACTATATATATTGATTGCTAATTTGCTATATATAACAGGTACATTGATATATACATACACACGTATCTTGCTGATTGATCTTGATTTGTGGAGGGTTATCTTGTCTTCTTGATTTGAGGAGGGTTATTTACCCTATTTGTCTAGCATACACAACTACTGATCTGCCCTGTTTATTTAGGGCTTTTGCTACATGTCTTCTTTTCTCACTCATATTGCATTGTATTCAAATTGTCAGATAATCGATTTGTAAAGGGTGGGGTAGATTAGTAGGAATAAGACATCATAAGTCAAGGATAATCGACTCTCCCAAGGCTAGATGTGAAAAATAGGCGGGTTGGTGTTAGGTAGACAGCCGACCATAAAATTCAAGTCAAATCTCTTTGATGAAGCTTATAATAGAAAATAATGGAAAAAGAAAATTCATGTGGCCGACCCCAATCATAATTTCATATGGGATTAAGGCAAGCTAATGATGATGTTGAGCAAGAGCTACAAGGTGAGTTGGTTTTGAATTCAATACACGATCAAAAGCAGCCTGATTAGAGCATATTATTGGCATGTCATATTTATGTGTCTCCATTTAACACTTCCATCCAATACTAAATAACATTGGATGTTAGACTTAATTGTAGAAAAATAACACTAGAAATGTGTCAAAGCATGCATAAGATGTTTGATACTATGTGGGAGAGAGTGATTTCAGGAAATAGGTTGGCTGTCCAAATCCCACTTACTGTACATTATGTTAATACTTCAAAGACAGCATGTGACATACAACACTGTAATCATAACTATAAACAGTTAGTCCATCTTTTCATCCACCATACGCAAAAATTGAGCATAGAGGAAAGACTTGCTTCATTTATACATGTACAAACAAATACAGAAATGCACCTAAGAATGTAATTCTTGAATTTGTTGCTCTCTTCGTCTTTTTTTATTTCAGCATATTCTCGGCCTCAAAAAGAATTTACATAAACACTTTCTATCCACCTAAAATTTCCTTGTGGAGCATTCTAGAATCACGCAAAGAGCCTTTTTTTTTTTTTGAGTAAGTATTTGAATAACACAAAAGTAACTTAGACTCACATTTAAAGCCAACAATTCATCACATATTATAAGTTCACTAACCAATCATGATTGTTTGACTAGGATATATCATTTCTTGAATCCAAAAATTAGTAGTAAGTAATTCACCAAATCACAAGGCAAACAAACAATAATGCCCAAAGAAAATGAAACCCATAATTTTTTCTCTAAAGGAATAAAAAAATAATAATAATAATAACAACAAATCGAAAGGAGTAAACAGATAATCTCAATTCCATGTGGTTCCCAATCACCCCTTTAGTTTATATAGCTCTACTACATCTCTTAAATCCAATTATGATAACCGATTGAAAAACAATAAAAAAAATATAAATAAATATAAATAAATAAACTATTGTTCATGCTTGGGATTAAGAAACACCCTACTTCACCTGAGTTCTACAAATCATGCTTGGGATTAAGAAACACCCCACTTCACCTGAGTTCTACAAACAGTTTCAAAACCAAATCTTCACCCAATAGGTAGAGAATTAAAATGATGAACTTTACAAATTGCAATCGACTGGACAGTTTTGAGCTTATATTGTATACCCAATACATCTCCAAATAAAAACATACACACAAACACAAAACCAGAGAAATTGAATCTGGCTTACAGGTCATTCAGATAGATGGTGACTGGTGGAAGAGCTTGTGCTTTGGATCTTCTCTGTGCTATTTTTCACATCGTTTGGGAGTGAAAGCCAAACCATTGCTTTTTCCCATTCGGCTTTGATAAGAAGAGAGCGCTTTTGGGGTTTGGACTTTCGGTGGATGTGAAATTTCTAAAGGTACCAACCAAAATCACAAAATCCAATCTTTGAGATTAGAAGGCAATTTGGGCCTGCTACAGAAATCACCCGTTGGAGAATTACAGGACAACTTGCATTGATAAAAATTACTAATAATTTCAAACCCATCACTATTCTGGTTAGGCTTGAACAAATGTGTTTGGCAACAGAGTTTAACCCTAACCCGACCCTCATGCACACTAAATTTGAATTTCATCAGAATTTTATAACAGATTAAATTTTAAAAAAAATTATGATAAGAATGTTAGGAGTTGATAGTTAGAGGAGAGGGGAGGGCAGCGGAGCCATGATTTCAATTCAGAGAAGGCAAGGTTTAATATATATATATTAGAGTATGATTCAAAAATTTAAGGGGCACGGTATATAATTTTTTATATATGCTAAAAAAAAATTACAAATTACTTGTATATATTTTATTGAGTGGGGGGATCTTTCACATAAATAGCACCATGTAAGGCAATGGGTAGAACTAAGAGAAATGACTCCTATCCTAGGGTCATTGTAGACGGTGGCGAACATATAAGTATCCTACTTTGTCACAGGTTACGGACAAAGGAACAGTCGTAAATGTTCACCAATTGGTTAGAATTGGTAAGTAACCTACCCGCTATTCTGCTTCTTCATCATGCCCCCTAGGCCTTAATTAGATCCTCCCTAAGGAGGGTGCAAGACTCAAATACGAGTTCACGATCAATCTAATCATTCGAACAATACGAAACTTGGTAAGACGCATAATTACACCCTAATATTAAGACATTTATGATTTTTTATCTATTTTATAAATGTTTTTAACTAGTTATGTTTTCCAAGATTAAGAGTTGGTCACCATAACAATTAGGTTCTAAAATGTAAAGTTTGGAACCTCTCCAACAAATCTCTTATCCTGCACGCATTTGACTTATTATCGCCCAGCGAACATTCTAGGTTATATATATTGTGGTGGAAAATTTTCCCACAAACCACAGGCTCCACGGGCCCATCTTTTAAAAAAGGAAAGCCTTATGCTCTCAAATCTCAATAGACCCAACAGCAACACATAAGCAGTCCACATGATCAAAAAATAAAACTTTGACCACCACGGAGGTGAGTAAACACATAGGAACCAAAAAAAAAAAAAAAAAAACCAAGGGCAAAAGATCGGGATCATTTGTAAAATCAAATAAGGAAAGCCTTAGGCTCCGGTTACGGTTACAATGTACACTCTTCGTGTTAATTTAAGTGTTGTTTATAGAAAATAATAATTTTTAAGAAGAAATGTGAGACGTGTATTATTTGTCTAATTTATCCTTTTAAGTTTGAAATTTTTAAGTTTGAAATTTTAAACTCAAATGACGTATATGAAAAGATGTGAAATATTTTATTTTAAAAAGTAAAGTAGATTTTATTTAAAAAAGTAAAATAGATTATTATTTTGAGACAGACAAAAGAAAAAATATAATACTTATTTTAAAACAAGGGAGTGTAATATAAAATGTAGGTAAAAAACCCCAATGGAACGGACAAGCTGTTCCCAGCCATCTAGGTCTCCTTCCTCTGAATATTTCTTTTTTATCATTGCTTTCAATTTTTCCAGTTACTTTTGATTGAGTGTTTGTGCATTTGTATATATATTTTTTCGAAGGAAGACGATACTTTGCCCTTAATTAGAAGCCTTAGCCAATCTCTTAAAAAAAAAAAAAATCTATGTAGCACAGATACAGGATATTAGATACGAACATGAAACTATACAAATACGTTGACATGTATCATTATTATATCATATATATCATTATTTCACTACTTTGTCGTGATAGTATTCATATTATTTTCAAGATTATTAAATAGATTTGTGTTAGAAATGTTCAGAAAGTGTGACAAAGTGCTCACGAAGTGTCTCGGAAGTATCCGAAATAATAAAATTAATTTTTATTTATGATCACCTATATAAAGTGTCGAATACGTATTTGAGGAGTATCCAAGAAGTATCGATATTCAACACGGGTACGACTATTTCGTAGAAGTGTCCACGCTTTCTAATTGCTAACTCACTGCTACTTTGATAACCTTATTATATACTTAGACTAAAATAATAGACGACACTAAACCCTTGGTGCCAAATCCTGTAATTACGCCATAAGCAAGGTTAGAGTAACATCATTTTGTCACTATTAAGGACTAATATCGGGATGGATTAGCTTGATGATTATGACTTGCACATTAAACCGTAAATATATATTTATACACACATATGTATATATTAGTAGGTGGATTAGAGTAACATCATTTTGTCACCTTTAAAGATTAAATACGGATGGATTAGCTTCATGATTATGACTTGCAAATTAAACTATAATAAACACTACGGCTCCGTTTATTTGGACGTAAAATATTATTTTTAAAATTTTTTTTCAGGTAAAATATTCTTTTATTTTTATTTTATTGGTGTTTGGCAAATGTCTACGTCAAGGTCGAGATCGAGGTCCAATCCATCGAGCGGGACATGTAAAATAATTTATCAAAAATTAATAAATAAGTTATTTTTATTAAATTTTAATAATTATTTTCTCCGTAAATATTTTACGACAACTAAATAGTAAAAAATAAAAAAAAATATTTTACGAACAAAAATACACAATTCAAAAGGTCAAATGATAAAGAATCAGTTTATTTTTTAAAGGTAACAAATTAGATGTGAGACACTTGGATTGCATGCACTCATTCTGATAGATTATAAGACGTAATCAGGAATAGCAGAATTATTTGGGGACAGTTTTATGTCACAAATCTTAAAATTTGTTAAAATTTCAATAATGCTCCCACAAAATTATGATAAAACACTCAATACATTCTGGTTTTTCCAACTAAAATTTTATTTATTTACATAACATACGTAATTCTTTTTTTTATGTTATGTTAGCTTGATAATAATCGAAAGAGAAGCCTGACCAATTTTTAGTTAAAATACGCATTAATGTTTCTATTATTTTTTATTTTTTTAAGGGTAGTTTGAAACTATTTCAAGGTTGTCCCCGTCAATTTTTTTCACCTTCTTCTTTTTTTTTTTTAAAAAACAATAATACATACTAGCATGTAGAAGCAAAAGTATGAAAAAGAAAAAGAATCTTTGTCCTGTCAAAAAAAAAAAAAAATTAAAAACAATAATACATACTAGCATGTAGAAGCAAAAGTATGAAAAAGAAAAAGAATCTTTGTCCTGTCCCATGTTAGGGTTCACTTTTGTGGAACCTGAGAATAGGCCTCTCTCGCAAATCGCTGCTGCTCGGCAACTACAACTGTTTTGCGTTTCCTACTTCTCTAGTGACGCTCCGGCGATAACTCCGATCAGGTATTCATCCACCACTACCTCATCATCTTCATATTTCTCTTCTTCACACGATATAATATTGATTGCAATTAATGAATGCAAATCCATCGCGTTCGTTTTTTGGGTTTTATTCAGCTGTAATTAGGTTTCGCAAAAGATTGCAGATTCTGTCCAAATTTGCCCTTTTTTCCGATTATACTTTCGTTTGCTAACACTTTTGGGTATAAACTAATGTTATTTTGTGGATGGTGATTAGCAGATTGTCAAAGTTATGAAATTCGATTGATTAGAACTGACATTTAAGAACGAGCTATGAATAATTACTCAGGGTTGTCCGAATGTTGACTTTTTTTGAGGTTTTGATATCTTGCTTTATAATTTTTCGGAAGGTTGACAAAGGCAAGATTTATTTAGTTGTTGGATAGCTAAAATCGTAACCGAATGCATTGTAAAAGCAATAAACTCGCACCATGTTCTGGAAAGGTAGCATTGTAGATACAGGGAACTCCAAAAATTGGAAGTTCCAGTGGTGGGTAATGGTTCAGGGTCTACCCTGAAATGGAGGACAACAATTTGTAGCTTTGACGATGAGTGAAGGACACAGTCTGTTAACATACTAACAAGGGCAGATGCACTTACCCTTGTTAAGAAGGAACAAGAAGAAAAGAAGCAAAAATTACCATACTAGATTTAGAAAACCAGAAACCTACATGAGGGGACTGGAACTCAAAGAAGCTATATGGGCAAGTGTTGTTGGTAATGGAAAAAACAAAGACAACCAAAGTAGATTTAGAAAAGCTAGAAACGTACATAAGTGGATTTAGTGTTGTTAAAGGCACGCCAAGGCTCCAGGCTCATACAGGCGCTACACTTGTGCTTGTTGTATGGCTAGGTTTGCCTTTGACAACATTTGCGCCTTTAATATGGAATATGAATATGCTTTAATAGTAATTTAATTTTTCAATTGTGCACCTCGCTTCTGTCAGGTGCGTACCTCACTTTGCGCCTAGGCTCCAAAGGATCTCTAGCACCTAAGTGCGCCTTGGGCATTTGATAACCCTGAGTGGATTGCAAGTTTCCAACTCGAAGTGGCATTCACAATTATTTTTAATAAAACTTAATAAACTATAAAACTAGATTAGAGTGTTGGGCCATGAAGTGGCCCAAAATAATAGTTATTATTGGGACATGTATATTACAAGGGTCCTGCTGTTGTATATGCTATGGTTTGGGCATCTATTCTCTGATTACTTGACCAGCACAAACAATTGCTCCATTTACCATCCCCCTCCCTCTTTCTCCCTTTCTCGGTCTGATTTGCTTCCATGACAATGTTGCTCTTTAACATAAACTGGCTGCAGTCTTTGTTGGGAAAACTTTCATTTTAAATCAATTTCTTCTTGTGAATTTCTTTTCTCTGTTTCCATTGCGGTCAAAAAATTACTTGGAAGTAGATTGATATCAATATTCATTTTTTTTTTTGATAAGTAGATTGATATCAATATTCATAACATGGCAATGCAACAGATTCTTTTATTTTATATTCGTTTTATTTATTTATTTATTTTTTGGGTCATTGCCTCATTTATAGTGATTGATTTGTACATAAAATCATATATAAAACCTATTGGGCAATTTAATTTGTGGGTGCTTCTACAACCTAACTCATGATATCTAGATGTCGTTGCAAACATTTAAAATATCTCCTTTTGTCCTTATGGAAGAGCTTGTTGTCATATATGTTATGCATAAATGGCTGAAATGCATTTTAACTCTTGTAGAAAATGAACAAGTTACCAAGAAGTATATATTTAGTACAAGGAAGCTGCCTAATATAGTTTTTTTCTTTTCTTTTTCTTTTTTTATTCCAAAAATTTATTGAATACTTTATTTTTGTTTTAAAAAACCAATATAATTCCAGAGTTTGATAGCACATGTTTACTCGTGCCTTAGGATTGGGTTTACTTGTTTGTTTTTAAAATTTGTTAAAAAATTAGTTAATTGATTTTTGTTGTTTTTGTTTATAGGTTGAAGGGTATTATGTTTGCTGGATACAAACCATTGCCGGTATGCGATTTTTGTAGGTAGGGCAGTTTGTCCCTCTTGTGATATATGACATGGGCGGTGGCGGTTCTTTTGACTTCCTCTACATGTATTAGTGCCATTTGTTGCTGGTACTATAATATTTGTTTTTTTTTTTTCTTTGGGGGGGGTTAGGTTTAGTAGTTTAATGTATTTTTTTTTTTTCATGTAAAAAGCTTCTCCATTCTATCAAATGCACCCAATAACTTATTTCTTCGTAAGCCTATTTCCTGCTTTGAGTTAAGTAGTTTAGTGAGCTGGATAACTTGAAAATGAGAATACATCTAGTGTAGCTGGTTTATGTGCCTGCTTCTGCTGGCGGTTGTTTAATTCACTAAAATTTCTTGCTTTGAACTAAGTGCGTGTCACTTTGAATGAATTGGTTGACACCATCAAAGCTCTCTGTATTAAAGAAATAAGAGGAGCAGTATGGAAAAATCCCTCAAGAGAAATATTGATTTTTTTTGCTTTAAAAAAAAGTTAATATCTTGCCTATTGGGATTGTATTCATTTCTAATTTATGAACCAATCCAGAGGAGAGGATCATGTCTTCCACTTTATATTCAGGATGTCTTTATGAAGTTTATCTTAAATGTGGAAATGAGGTTATGATTGTCTGAAATTCTATCCTAAAATTAAATTTTTTTTTTCCTCACAGAATTTTGTTGTTATTGCCTTGCCACCATTTCTTGCTACCTGAACAATAGTCCATTTCTGCATGATGTCCGTATGAAGTTTTTTTAGATGTGGAAATGAGATTGTGATTTTCTGAATTTCTATCCTAAAATTATTTTTTTTTCCTCACATTTTGTGTTGTTATTTCCTTGTCACCATTTCCTGCTACCTGAACAATATTCCATTTCTGCTGGTGTTCATTATCGAGAAAGATTTGGATTTTATTAAGGTGTTGTGCTTTTTCTGTCCGTTGGGATCTCACTCATAACCCTCTTCAAGATCCTTCCTATTTGGATTACTTGAAAAGCTCTACTCCACCCTCTTAGTTTCCATTAGAATTTGAACAACATTGCCACGTTTAGATGGAATAAAATCATGGCTCTGGACACAGTCTCTGATAATATATTTTTGGTAATTTAGAACTTGTTTGATTTTTATTTTTTGGTAAGTGATAACATACACACACAAGACACCCCAACGAGAACTTGAACCCTCAACCTCCCGTATGGAAGGACGAGGAGATACTACTTGAGCTAAAGGCTTTGTGTTTAGTCTTTTGATAAATAGCTCATACTGGAGTTGGAGGTTGTTTCTCACAGTTCCACAAGTTACAGCTCCCAGATGGTCCTCTCTCTAATGTATCCGCTATTTCATGTCACCAGTATGTTGCTCTCAAGCCCAAGTTTAATGTGTTTGAACACGTTAAACTTCATCCCTAATTTGTGTTCTCTGCTTTGTTACACTTATCATAACCATGCAGCCTACTTTCCTAAAGTTTCTCTCTTTCCTGGCTTGTATTTTTATAACCACAAATGATATCTGATTACATGCTTAACAGGATAAGGTAACAATAAATACTTGGTTCACTTTTCTGTTTTCTGGGAACTGAAAACCGAAAACTGTAAAAAATCTGGTTGGTTGACTGTTTCTGAAAACTCAGTTAAAGAAACGTCTCTTTTCCAACTTGATTGGGGGGGGAGTACGTCACTTTTTCGAGAACTGTGTTTTCTAATTCTCTGGAAACAGTTTTCTGCGTTCTTGTGAACTGTTTTTAGAGAGCTGAACCAATCAGGACCGGCAGGCCTAGTTTTTTCAACACTTAAAAGAAACAGTTTTCGATATAAATGTCAAACCTTCGTGTGAGTACAAGATTTCGACTAGGGATGAATTAGAACACACGGATCTTTCTGAGCCACGAGATTTCAACCCTAAAATTCAGTTTCACAGATTTTATAAATTATTTCTCTCTCTTTTTTTTTTTTTTTTTTTTCCCTTACTGTTGTGTACTCGTTTGGAACAGGCATTCTGTGATCCTACTTATGATCTGTTTTGTTTTTGCTCTACAAATCTCTTCACTTTCTGACAGATGCCATTTACGATTTTCTGGGAGTTTTCAGGTTATGCATTATCGTTTGTTTCTTTGAAGAAAACTTGTTTGGCTGCCCTTTCATTGTAAGTAGCTATGCAACCCACTGGAACTAGAGACACCCAACTCCGTGACAGCAATAACCAGAAAGTCCACCCTCAACCCATGGAAGAGGCAACAAATCAGAATCCAGGGGCAGTGGAAACCCTGATATCAAAGATTTTTACAAATCTCTCCTCCCTAAAGTCGGCCTACATCCAGCTCCAAGCTGCACATACTCCTTATGACCCTGATAAAATCCAAGAGGCTGATAAACTTGTTATTTCAGAACTGAAGACTCTCTCTGAACTCAAGCATTTTTACAGGGAGAACAACCCCAAACCCGCATGTGTTTCTCCTCAGGACTCTCGCTTAGCTGCAGAGATCCAAGAACAGCAGAGCCTGTTGAAAACCTATGAGGTCATGGTTAAGAAATTCCAGTCTGAAATCCAGAATAAAGATTCTGAGATTCTTCAGTTGCAGCAGCAGATCCAGGATGCAAACCTGAAGCGGACTAAACTGGAGAAGAATCTCAAACTAAGGGGTTTGTCTGCCAAAGAATCAGGAAGCTCAGGTGAACAAAATGGCTTTTCTCCCGTGGATTTAAACCCCGATCTTTTCACATCAGCTGTAGAAACTGCTTATAGAGCCATTCATGATTTTTCTAAGCCATTGATTAACATGATGAAAGCAGCTGGGTGGGACCTCGATGCAGCAGCAAACTCCATAGAACCTGATGTCGTTTATGCAAAAAGAGCTCACAAAAAATACGCATTTGAATCCCATATATGCCAAAGAATGTTCAGCGGGTTTCAGCAAGTAAGCTTCTCTGTCAAACAAGAAAATCCTACAGTCACTAAAGAAAGTTTATTTCACCAATATCTTGCCCTAAGAGAAATGGATCCACTGGACGCAGTGGGCCAAAATCCAGATTCTGATTTTGGGATATTTTGTCGGAGCAAGTATCCAGTAGTAGTTCATCCAAAGATGGAGGCTTCATTTTTTGGAAACTTAGATCAGCGGAACTATATCATGGGGGGTGGACATCCAAGGACCCCTTTCTACCAGGCTTTTCTGAAACTGGCCAAGTCAATCTGGCTTCTGCACAGGTTGGCCTACTCTTTTGATCCTTCAGTTAAGGTCTTTCAGGTCAAGAGGGGAAGCGAATTCTCAGAGGTCTATATGGAAAGTGTGGTGAAAAATGTGGTTATGGATGAAGATGATCAAAAGCCTAAGGTCGGGCTAATGGTTATGCCTGGATTTTGGATTGGGGGCAGTGTGATCCAGTGCCGAGTTTATCTAACAGGCGTGAAGGTTGCTGAATGACTTCTGATTCTATAGACTGAACTATCACCAAAATGTGTATGTATCTAGTGTGTTTAATCCTTTACGTTGGCTTTGCTAAAATATATTATTGCAGTTGTTGTTGTATTTGTTGTGCTTCTTGTTATATGTTTGTTTAAAATGGAATATGCTGTTCATTTCCCGCCCAAGCATCTTAATCTCTCTGTGCGTGAGCAGATGGTCTGTATTCACATGATGATGTTCTATCTATGCAAAACCATTGTGTTCATAAGTTACAAATTAATTAGATTTGTACTGTCCAGCAATTATTGGCTTGATTGAACTCTTTACACTTGGTCATTGCAAAATTTAGAGGCAGTCATGGTCTGCTATAAATCAGACTGCCAATTTTCTGGCTTTTTAAAGGTGGTTTTCTTTTCAAAGGATTTCAAGGGTAGGAATTGACAATTCTTGGTATTTGGAGGTTCTTTTTGTCTGTTTTCCAGGAATTTAAAATCTTTCCGAAATCACTTGCACCATGTCATTTTGGGCATAATGTCTAAAATAACATGATTTGGTGAATCCCTTGAGAGTTGGACACCGCTGCTTTCTTTAGAACAGACTCTCTCTCTGTGATTTTACAGGTAGCTTAATGTCATTGAAATAATTTGTAAATTAATAGCCCTAGTTAATAAACCTTTATAAATAGCTCTATTTAATAACCTAGGAATTAATAGCCCTATTTAATAACCTAGGAATTAATAGCCCTATTTAATAAACCTTTATTAATCAGATGTAGTAATTGCCCTAGTTAGAAACTCTAGTTTTCTCTTTTCACCTTTGAGAGAATGAGACAAACCTTTTGATTATGCACTATTTTCACATTTTTCCACGAAACTATCCTGAGAGGTGAGGTGATGGTGGTAGTTCATAGCAGTTCATATGAGTTCTTTCGTTTTTAAGCTATGCCGGCTGGTGGTATAAGTAGCTTCCAAATCTTCCCCGCTGCAGGAAAAAGGAGCAGTTTATATGCATCCCTAGATGGCCTACAGGGAAACTCTCGCACTTTAGTTGAAAATTTTAGGGGAAGAGAAAGCTCCATAACAACAATGTTATCAAGCAGTCAGTTTAGAGTGGCAAAACACACATTCACATATCCATCATGAATTTCTGAAACCATAGCGATATCAGATTCCAATTGAACAATCTGAATGTTTAATTCTATACTTTGAAGAGAAGTGTTGCATTTGAAACCTTCATTAACAAAAGACTTCATGATCACTGGATGCAAGTTCCGTTAAATTATAAATGTCATCAATTGTGAGGTCCCCTTAAGTCAACATTCCATCACGGTTTAGCAGGTTGTACTTTGTAGGCTCTATAATGCACTTCATTTAGTTCTTTTGGCAAGTTTGGGACTTTAATCTCAGATTAAAATTTAAATTTCTGGTCTTTAGTTATTTCGTTCATATAAGAGCTATTCACATGAAACTTGAGGATTTATTTATATGTACCAGAGTGGCAGATTGATAAGAGACTTTTACTCAATGGCCTCACAGAGAGGACGGTTCTGATTAAGATCTGTTAAATTTTAGGAGTTCTTGTTTATCGGTTTGCTGCTAATATATTTCAGCTGTAGTCAATGTGGGGAGAATTACAGGTAAATCCATCTTGAAGTTCTAGGAAGGTCTATTTGTTACTGCAGAATACGCCTCTTTGTTTGTTGATTAGCACATTTTTTTACTGTTAGTATGACAATCTGGCTGTCAAATTCAGATCTAATTCACCCACTCTCACACGCCCACAAACTTGTTTCGACGAGAGGATGGTCAACTCTGCATATTTGATTTGGATATTCTCACAAAAAATTTAGATATCTGATATAATTGTGTTGTGCAATCCACACACCCACAGCAGCGGTTTGTATTTGTGGTATATGACAGTTTCACACATGCACACCCTATATTCTTGATTATAATTAACTAAAAAATTCTTACACTAGATTGGGGTGTAGAATGTGATAGTATAATATTTGAATACATATTGTTATTAGAACTATTATTATTTGCTATACTACTGTAGTATTATTGGGTTTGAGTTTTTTCAGTTCATTCAAGGGTTGTTTTTCAGTTTGTTTAATTGTTCATAATGTAGCTTAGTTATGGTTTTGGACTCTTTGTAATTGAGACCTTGCACCTTATGGAGTCTTAAGGTGCATTAAGTCAGCAGTTTAGAGGAGAATTCTATGCTTCCAAATAGCTTTTTCTTATTTTTTCACATCATTCAATGTCATTTTAGAATCAATTTCTCTGCCGTTTTCATGATCTGTCTTAATTTGTCTTGGCTTTGGTTCTCTATGAAACATTGTCTTTGGCCTATCGGTATAACCTCTCAATTCTCAAAGAAGAGGGGAAGGGTTCGAGTGGGCTGAAGAATGTGTGTTTGCTTTACCAGTTGAACTATTAAACCGAACTGTTAAAGCTGTTCATCTTGGTTGACTGACTTCTTCTGTGATGTGATTTCATGAATTTACTTCACTTATTGCTCACAAAAGGGCCTCATAGTTTCTTAAGCCGCTGACAATGGCATGTGTTGATCCAAGTTTGAGCACATGAAACCAAATCAAGGCCATTGTTGGACTTGTAATAGTGGTCGGTTTAAGAAAAGCTAGCTGGACTATATTTTAGTTATATTAGTATACATTATTTGAAGAGAAACAAAATAAGTATAAATATGAAAGGCAGATGAATTAGATAACATACACATGGCCCAATTACAAAATTCCCCAGAGAACTCACAATGCAAAAAGGTGCACTTTGATTGATTTTGTGAATTTGGTATTTGCTGAAAGGCCACTCCAATCTCATATGATTGATGAGATGTCACCATTGCACATTGGCCAAATCTTAGATATATATGTATATATATATATATACACATATCTATATGTAGAGAGATTTGAACACGTGATTCTAGAATTTCATTGCCTTAATCCAAGGATTATGTTGGCTGAACCATCTCCCCATTAATATATAATTTTGCAGAAGACAAGTGAGCGTGGACATTGATGAGCATGTTCAGCGTCAAACGGTCAAGACCATAAGCCCCTAATTTTAAAATGCTAACCTTCCAACTTTCTTCTTGGGTCAAAAGTTTATCACATGTTTACTCTATTGCATTTATCATTATAATTTTGGGCAAATCAATAGGATTCCACTCATCGTAGGGTCAGAGTTCTTTGATGAAGTCAAAACAAAGACAATGAAACGTAAATCATCAGATTTATTCTTTTTGAAAATTGAGATGGTTGTAAGACATATTATGAAACATTATTTAATTTTTATTGATTTCATCCGAATCTGACCATCTAGTTCTTTGAATCTCACTGCACGTGATTACTTATAGAAGTGATAATAATAGAGATAATAAGGTGTGATTAATGCAAATACAGTCCACCTTAAGGCTAAATTATACAGAGAGGACTTTGCCAGCCTCTATATAAACCAAACCACCCTCTTCACATGTCTCAATCTCAAACACAAGTAATCTCCATTTGCTCACATACATGGCAAAAATCAGCCTCTGTGTTCTACTTCTCCTTCTCTCCATCTCCTGTGTCACCGGTGTGCCCGAGCCGGCTTTCCATCGCGGTTCCCGGGCCAGGGCTTTCATCGAGGCACAATGCCAGGCCACCCGATACTTCAACCTATGCGTGCAGTGCCTTTCCAACAACTATGTGAACACAAGTACACCAAACCCACAAGAATTGGCTCAAGTGGCATTGACAGTGAGCCTAGTGAGGGCCAGGTACACAAGGGCTTATGTGACTGAAGTGGCTACGCAACTCGAACAAACCAAGGCCAAAGAGTACCAAGTCGTTAAAGATTGTTTAGATCAAATTAATGACGGTGTGGACCAGTTAACACAATCGATTAAAGAGCTGCGACGAATGGGTCGAGCCGGAGCCAACGATTTCATGTGGCACACCAACAATGTCCAGACTTGGCTTAGCACTGCGCTCACCGATGCAACCACTTGTATTGATGGGTTTTCGGGGTATGCAATGGGCGGGAAACAAAGGGCTACAATTAAAGCGAAGGTCCTCAATTTGGCACAGGTCACTAGTAACGCATTAGCCTTGTTTAATCGATTTGTTTCCAGGCACAGGGTTACTGGTGTGAAGCACAACCCTTGAATCTAGCCTTTTTTGGGGATCTAAGTTCCATGCCTGTCGTGAATCCATCATTTTCAGTTTATTCTATATGCTGATATACATATGCACACATATATATATATATGGTGAATTTAGATGTGAATATGATAGATTTTTGTTGTCACCAAGTTTCTCTCTCAACTCGCTTTTGTACTTTTGTGATGTTCAATAAGATTGTAATTCAGAACATGCATGTTTATTTATTTATTTTGGGTGAATAAAATACATATTCAGATCTTAATTTCAAAAAAATAAAAACATATTGGGAAATGAGATTCTCTTAAATGATCAATTAGTTGGTGATCCCAGTAAGTTTTGTAGCCATAAGGCCACGTAATTGAGTCCAACTTTGCAAATTATATCAGCAACAATCCATAAATTTTTTTTATTTTTTTATTTTTATGATGACAACTGAAATACCATGTATTTGAGACACTAAAATATAATAATACCCCGTGACATATGCACATAAGATCGGAAAATAAATTTTCAATACTTGTAATCACTTATAAACCAAGAATTTTGTGCAATTAAATTACATGTCACATTTAATTTTTCCAAGATTCAAATTTTTACTTGAAAAGGCCCATTAATCATTGGGCCAGTACCACCAAAATTACACTTTCTTAAAATTGAAGATAGAGACTTGAAGTCTTAGAAAAAATAAAGTGATGGCAAAACTTTAAACAATACTTAAAAATTAATATTAGTAGAATAATAATTTTATACAAAATAACAAAATAATGTCAAAATTAGATGTGTTTAGATTTTTTTTTTTTCCCCAACATGATAGATAGTCTGAAATTTGCCATTTATATTTTTGGGCAGTTAAGGTTGTTTTATTTGATTCATAATTAATTTATACAAAATTAAATACTTAATTAAGTTATAAAGAAAAAACAAAAAGTGGTTAAAAAGGAAGAGAAAAAATAGCTCCTTATTTTCAATTTTCGTTTTATGTAAGTATTTTGTTAACAAAGTAGAAGTAGAGAAACTGGAATTTTATTACATTAATCGAAGAAGGCTACTTACCTGCACAAAGGCCTACTATAAATACAATATTATTATAAAAACCTAAATTCTTGAAAAACCCTAAATTTTGTTAACAAAGTAGAAGTAGTATTAGCAAATACGTTAATGGCTTTAGGATCCTAATAGGACCCTCCAAGATGAGACGACGACAAGATTTCTGCAAGCAAAAACGAGTTTCAGAGGTCAAAGAGATCGAATTGCTCGAATCATGGATCGAATTCGGGAAACCCGACCCGGGTTCCAACCCGTTATCGCTACCGCCGTTGCGTTCCGACGGTCCGGTGATAGGTCAAATCGACGGGAAGTCCTTCTCTGGGTACGTCGGGTGCAAGAAATTCAGTGAACTGCCCCTCTCTCGGAAGACAAAAGACGGACTGAGACAATCCAACTATACAACCATGACTCGTATTCAGAGAGCTGCGATTCCTCATGCGCTCTGCGGCCATGACATTCTCGGCGAGGCCAAAACTGGCTCCGGCAAGACTCTCGCTTTCATCATTCCGGTGGGTGACTGACTGCTTTGTCAACTTTCCTCGTTTGGTTGCTTGGAATCCTGGAAAGAAAAGAATATACACACACACACACACTAGTGATATGCTATTAAATCAGTTTATTGTTAAGTTACTGTTATTTGATCCATGAGATACAAATAGAGAAAAATAAAACAGATAAATAAATTTCTGAACAAGGCTTTGAATGACTGAATCCACAACAACAGCTGGCCTTTTTTCCCAGCTATTTGGGATCCGTTACATGAATTTTAATTTTATGTTTCTATTTTGCTGTGATTTATGCCACTCTTTCTAACCAGCTCATTTAAAAATTTTGAATGATTGAATTTTGAAAAAGTAATAATTCTTTCCGTAGGATCTTTCTAGACTGTCTGTGTCTGTAAATTTGTCCTATTTGAGTCTGAAGAGATATACTACTTGGACTAATAACATCAATGTGATTGGCATTATCCTAGGTCTACTGGACAAGTTTGTTCCTTTGTTGGTAAAAAATATTATTATTAATCACCACCCCTTTGACTAGGTGTTATGACCTCTGGTGGGACAAAGTATATTATGGTTCTAACACAAAATAAGGGTGAGTTATATTTGCTTGTTTATATCCAAGACCTCACCTCTCTCAATTAGAGCTGGGAACTAGAGCTGCAAGCGAAGGCAACTAGGCAAAACACAAATGATAGCCAAAAATGAAAAGCAAGCTGGTTCTATGGCCACTCTTTACTTAGAACTCCTCGCCTGGAACTCCCATATATGAATGAGGTCAAGCCTCGACTGAAGTCTAGTGGTATTTTATCACTTTTCATCTTTCAAAGTAGAAGGTCAAGGTTGAAGTCGCTCTTAAAGGACAAAGTGAGTGTGTGAGTTTCTTACAAGATAAATATATATATTTATGGTGCCCTCTCTTTCTCTCTCTATATATATATTGCGTCTATATGTGTTAATCCTTAATTCATCATAAAGTACCAATTCACATAATGGACAATTTTGTCGTTGCTTTTCAGGTATTAGAGAAGTTATACAGAATGAGATGGGGTCCAGAGGATGGGGTAGGCTGCATCATAATATCTCCAACAAGGGAACTAGCCAACCAACTCTTTGAAGTACTGAATTCTGTTGGGAAGCACCACAGTTTTAGTGCTGGCCTCCTAATTGGTGGCTGCAAAAATGTGGATACAGAGAAAGAGCGTGTGAATGAGTTGAACATATTGGTGTGCACTCCTGGCCGGCTTCTTCAGCACATGGATGAGACTCCCAATTTTGATTGTTCACAGCTTCAGGTCAAATAATTTATTTTTGTGAAAATTATTTTCAGAGTGAAACAGAACTAATCAATGAGAAAGATAATTAACTAATGACCATTGAAAAAATCACATCATTTGGACCCATGTAAAAATACCTATTGCTTATCTTCTCTAATCACATTGTTTAGTTGGTGTAAAAATTTTACTTGAACAGCATTACTTTTGTATCCTCTTTTCCCTTTTGCCTTCTTACGTGCCGCTTTAAAATGCTGGGATGGTATTTTGGTTCTTTATCTGTGTAGGATGTGGGTTGTGTAGCCCTTCAAGTTCCATAGCACAGAATTAGCACACTAAGATGGTTCAAATGATCTTAGCATTGCCTCTATACAAACTCTGCAAGTTCAGGGTTTAAGTCTTGCAGGATGTCCCTTTTATCTCTAATTTATTGTCACAGTGGAATCCCTTACTTTCCATCCTAGCTTGTTTTAACATGTAGCTTCTACTGAAGCATAAAATTTCATTTTTAATTCTGCAAGACATATTCTTTTGGTCATGCACTATTCCAGTTCTTTACATTCTTGTGGTGTTCCTTTTTCTTTCTTTCAGGAATCCCTAGCATCTTTAGGATAATGCAAATTAAAAAAAAAATGTGATTATTTGATTAAGCAAGTTTCATAAGAAGAATCCCCAAAAAAATCCACTTGGAGGGGTTTGATTTCTTTAGGGACTTCACTTATCGCTGATGATTAAAATATTCTATCACAATTTTTAAATTGTAAAAATCAGACGGAATTGTCTTTAAATTTTCAATACTAAATACGCAGTTTTTAAATTTTTGCAGCACTACCAATTCAACACCAACTTTTTCAATTTTTTATCAAAGAACACTTTGTTAAGGCTACTTTATCTTGTTTCACGGGGGTTTCTTCTAGGTATTCCTTCTTTATGCAAATAATATGCACAATTGTTGAAGTGCCAATATATATGATAGTGGTATCTCTGATCTCCTTGTGTATGTGGGAGGTGGGTTTTGTTTTCCAGACCCTTAAGTTTCAAGTGCTACTTATTGCTTATTTGGGTTTATTTTCCTTGTTTGGGAACAGGTTTTAGTCCTCGACGAGGCAGATCGAATTCTTGATGTTGGATTTAAGAAGGCATTAGATGCAATAATTTCACAGCTACCAAATCATAGGCAAACATTTCTTTTCTCCGCAACTCTGACCAAGTCAGTTAAGGATCTTGCAAGGGTCGGATTGAAGGACCCAGAGTACCTCAGTGCGCATCTGGAGTCTGTAACTGCCACTCCCAATCGCTTGCGTCAAACTGCAATGATTGTTCCTCTTGAACATAAGCTTGATCTGTTGTGGAGTTTTATAAAGAAACATCTTAATTCAAGGATACTTGTGTTTCTTTCAAGCTGCAAACAGGTAACCTGCATCATACATACTCTCTTTAGAAATGATACCCTCAGCTAGATGGAACTCAAATTCATAGTCAATCTTGCCTGCCTATGGGTGCACAACCTCGTGTATGATTGGTTGGGGAAATTCCTTGAACTTTTTTTATTGGATGTCTCACAAGCAAGTACACGACCCCATTTGAGATATGTGGGCCAGATTTACTTATCCTAGTTAATAATAAATACAGGAAGGCAAAGATGGTTGTAACAAATATGCTTGAGTTTTGAGTTTTCAGTTGTTGGCTCAATAGAATTATTTTATATGTTTTTTCTCATCTAGTGAATTACTCACGAGTTCAGTTAGGATGGTTATTTCACTTCCATTTGCACTCGAGATATATTTATATGGTTCATATGGTACATGACTACATGAGTTGGAATTTTGGATGAGCATGGACTGTGGGATTACGAATTAGTATCTTGAATGGGCATGGAGGTTTGGACTACATATTGTGATCTTAGGATTGTAGGTGTAGAATTGTGTTTTATTAGTATGCCAATACATCTAAAAATATAGATGACTAGAACTATGTCATACTTGAACTTATAATTTGCATTATGTATTGCACAAGCAAAGGCTTAATGGTATTAGTTATATTATTCCTACAAACTTTAGTGAGGTAGGAGTGGGTATTAAAAGAGCAATGAAAACAAGAAGTAAATAATGAATTAGTAGATAAATTAGAAAAACTATTGTGCAAGAAACTGTGAAGTGGCAATTTTTTCATGGCAATGATATCATAAGATATGATCCCCTTCTTTGTTTCAATTGTCCCATTTTTGTAGAAAATTTTTATGCATGTTACATAAGTAATAAATACGCTGTAGGCTAACTTAAAAGTTGTCAAATTGGTGTTTACTTGTGGTATTTTTATCCAAGCCCAACTTCACGGGGCTGCCTTCACTAAGTGTTTGTTTTTCGATTGGGTTCTTATTCTACTGTTGTATTCGTGACACACTATCACGACAATAGGAACTAAGCTTCACGAATAGCCCCAAAAGTGATGTATTAGGATTTATTTTTGTAGTTTGTTTTTAGCTCGTGAGATTTATCCACAGTAGCTACTAGCTTCAAGCTTTATCATTGTCTCTCATGAAGTGAAAAGAAGAGGCTTTTCTTCTCATTCTGCTGGCCCTGCAATACCATTTGTCTATCTTTCCATTTGTTTCATATTTTTGGCAGTTGTGTAATTAACCTTCATTCATCTATTTTTGTTTAATTGTAATCTATGCTATGTAATAGGTAAAATTTGTTTTCGAAGCATTTAAGAAACTTCATCCAGGGATCCCCTTAAAATGTCTTCATGGAAGGATGAAGCAGGAGACAAGGATGGAAATATATTCCCAGTTTTGTGAGAAAGATAAACCTTCAGTTCTCTTCTCGACAGATGTGGCTGCAAGAGGCCTTGATTTCAGTAAGTCAGTCGATTGGGTTGTTCAGGTGAGTTAATGGTTTTGCAAAGACGCAATGTTTCATACGAATTTACGATTGTGGTCTTTGATATATATATATGTATGTATATAATTTCTCTACAGGTGGATTGCCCAGAAGATGTTGATACTTACCGACATAGAGTTGGTCGGACTGCACGTTATCATTGTGATGGGAGGTCGGTTTTATTCCTGATGCCTTCAGAGATTAAAATGATCAAAGAACTAGAGGAAAACAAAATACGCATAAAACTCTCCCAGGTAGACTATTTCATATTCACAAAATTATGCTTATTTAAATCTACTTTCAGTTGGATGGTCAATTAGCTTCCATATGTTCTCATAATTATTGTTAGCTACCAAACTGGTCGTTCAAATTTCTGTAGTTCAATGTCTTGACACACGCCCTCATTTGCTCACAGACACGTATGTATATCTAATACCTGTTCATATGTTAACATTGCCTCGTACTGTTTGATTCAGGCAAACCCAGAATGGCTGCGAGCTGTATCTGAAAATGTGGCAGCTTTACTAGTCAAGTATGATAATTTGAAGCAACTTGCTCAGAGGGCCTTTATCACGTACTTGAGGTCTATCTATATTAAAAGAAATAAGGAGGTTTTTGATGTAATGAAACTGCCCATCGATGAATTCTCGGCCTCATTGGGCTTGCCAATGACACCAAAAATCCGATTTTTAAAGCAGAAAATCAGGAGCAAAGCAGTCTCCGGAAAACCTTTTCTTCAACCTGAAATTGGTCTCAAGGAGGATGAAGTGGATGATGCTCTTCTTATACCAAAGGAGACCCCACACAGAGGGGAAACTCAGACTGGAGATGCTGTGTATGTCACTTGTATTTTGTTCCCTTTTTTGGTTAAAAAATTTCTACAATTTTTTTATCAAAAAAATGTTTAATCTAATATATGGTCTAGCAATTATGCTGTCCATATAAATCTCAATGAGAGGTCAGACTTGGACCAAATAGATGTTGTAACCATCCATTTTAGGTATTTTCTATGAATCTGCTGTTTGGAAAATTGCAAGAGATTTCTTGACTTGGTTCGCGATCTGTTGATGACTACATTTATATGCTTTAGCTATAAAGATTAACTTCTTTTGATGTGCTTGTTGTCCGTGCTATAATCTTCATTGCTGTTTATAATTTTGAAATTTTTTCCTCCATCATTGGTTTGTAGGTCGGCAGCTTCAGGTTTGAAGAAAAAAAAGTTTTCGATTAATATCGACGAACCGATGGGAAGAAAGTCACGTCTTGACGAGGAATGCGATGAGCTTTCCCCACCTTCAGGATCAGTAGATATGAAGAGTGGCAATAGTCCAGTTCAGCTTGACATAGACTTGGGTAAATGCTATTTGGTTTACATACCTTGAAACCTTTAATCATTCATATGATGATGCCAGGTTTTTACTGCATAGAATGCAATCGACCCTAAAACAACTGTTGAAGGGAGAAAAAGAATTAGATTTTTGCCTCAAATTTAAATTCAATTTTCCTGTTGGCCTTATATATTAAATGTTACTTAAGAACTTTCTGTAATTTTGACAAATTTAAATAGCTTGGCTTTTTAATATATTAATATTCTAAGTATTATTATTAACAATACTCGATAAATACATTGTTTATGAAAGATCCTGAAATTTGAAAATCCCATTACCATTAATTTATGATTAGCTATTGTAATTTATAGAGGGCCACTTCCTGTCATTTGCCGCAGCCACTGGCAAAGAAAGAACATTAGAATATATTTGTAATTAAGCTTTTTTTATGGTCATATCAGCCACTACCTCGGGTGGGAAAAGCAAAATACTTGTACCCATGCATTAACTTCATTATGGGCTTTTGATACTTGTACCCCTAATACAATGCCCTACTTGTGTTGCAGTAAATCGGGGATATGCCGAGATGAGGGAAGAGCTGAAACAAGAGGACAAGGAAGACAAGCTCCAAGACCGTAAGCGCCGCAAAGAGCAACGGCTGAAGGAGCGGATGAAGTGGAAGAGGGAAAGGAAGGAGGAGGATATGGAGGGTGAGGATGATCTTCCCGAGTCAGATGGAGAAGCAAATGGTACACGACACAACAAAAGGATGAAATTGCGTTTCAACAGTGACAACGATGATGGTGGGAGAAAGAAAGTCAAGGGCAAATTGGGTATGAATGCTGACTCTGTTTCTTTGGCAGATCAAGAGAAACTGGCTCTTAAATTATTGAGTTCCATGCACTCGTAGATTGTTAAGCTATGAACTTTTTTAGTTTAGTCTCAGGTTTATTGTTGACAAATCCAGTATGTTTTGGTCAGAAAATTTTGCTTTTCCTGGCTAATGCATTTTATATGTAGAATAATTTCTTTATTCATCTAAAGTACCTTTGGTAGCAAATTTTGGATAAAATTTGTGAATGTCAGTTTGCCGCATACTCTTCAGAGTAGAGATTTTATCAGATGGTGTTCTTTGGTTTTTATGTAAACAAGTTTTTGCAATGGCACGTTCTAATTATGTTGATAAAGAATCCCTTATGCTTCAACCATCTGTTTTGATGGTTGAAGCAAATAGTGTACGCGCGCGTATTTTTTTCTTTTCAATAACCGGGGTGTTCTGGGCTCTTGTCCCGAGTAATCTATGGGACCCGTGCAAGACACTCTCCTCCCTCATAGATTGGATAATGCTCGGACTATGTCTGTAAGCGTGGCCATAAGAAATTGTTTGCACTTAGGTCACAAATATTGTGTTACAGGTAATATGGTAAATAAAATGCTTAAAGACCTGTTAGCGACATCTATTGCTTTAAGTTCAATTAATTTTTGGGAGTTTGACAGTGTGACAAATTCATAAATCTTTCTGACTCAAAATCCTTATCATTAATTTTTAAATCTTTTTCTTCTATCTAACAACAGAATAGTAGACTAAATATTTTTGTTATTCTAAAAATATTGAAAGTATTTTTGAAAATATATGTACTGTTTATCTTTTCATGTCTATTAACAAGCCTTGGCTAATCACAAACAATTTGATATTAAACTTGTTAGTAACTTTTGCCAAATCTATAGTTTATGGTCTATTTAATTTACTAAATGAAACTCTTTAGTTAATATGCTTGAACTCTTTAGTCTTTAGTTAATAGAATTGAACGGCAACTTTAATTTTAAAATTTGCCATGAACATGAACGAAATAGGCTATTAAAATAACATTGGACCTGTGTTTAATATAATTTAGTATTATTTAATAATGACCAGACAAACTTAATGAGACGGAACTTATGATCTTTTACTCATTAATGAATATGATATGTATTCACACCAAACAAGATAATTATTAATTTTTAACGGCAAGCAAGAGATTGTTAATTTGAATTATCCAACATTCATTTTGAAAATAAAGGGATACTAATTAGGTTATAATCTTTGAAATCTTAATATTTAGGGGAATTTGAAGGATAAATTGTTAATGAATTTTTATTTTATTTTAAGAGAAAGTCATACGATACAATTTACTGAATAAGTAAAGTAACAAAGTTGGATTAGAGTAAGTTGAATAGGTTCTTCTTTCCCGCGCTAATGCTGATTGGCTGCGGTTTATTATGTGGTACTATTATTGAATAGGTCTAATTGACTAGTCTAAAATATAATTTACAGAACCGATTTATGTACAACAATTCCGTTGTAGTCTAGTTGGTCAGGATACTCGGCTCTCACCCGAGAGACCCGGGTTCAAGTCCCGGCAACGGAATTTTCTCCCTTTTTTTTTTTGTCCTTTTTTTCTTTCTTTTTTTTTTTTTTTTTTTTTTATTCGTTTCGTTTAAATTCTCTGGTAATTTTAATCCTCAGTATGAAAACATCACAACTCATACTTTTTTCCAGAACATATACAGTGGTAGAGGTAGCTTATATATATATATATATATATATATCTGTCTGGGAATTTCATCCCGGATCTATATATATTTATATGTATGTTAGGTAGAGTCAGTGGGTCCTCGTGCATGTAAAAAATCAAAGCCTTAATACTCGGATTATGTTGGCTAAGCAATTTCTTTTATATTGTTGCTTTACACAAGTGAAATGAGCATGCTCCTGATCATTTTAAAATGGGAGCCTTCAAAGTTCCTTCTCTGGTCAAAAGTTTACAGAATCTTTTGTTGAGTTAAAATTCAGAAAATGAAACGTAAATTGTCCGTTTGATCAATCACACTCACACGTTCTATTCAAAATAATGAAAATAAAATAGTTTTGAGACACGTTCGTATGACTTAATTACAATGGTTACTTGGCCACTAAATTACCCGACCAATATTTAAAACTGGTCAATTCTCATTCTCATCTTATCACCTAGTTCTCATAACCTCGTTGCATGTGATTGATTACCAAAAATAATAATAATAAGGATAATGTGTGACTAACCTCTATATAAATTGAACCACCCTGTTCATATATGTGTCTTAAGACTAAACACATTCAAGTTTCCAATTACTCACAGACATGGCTAAAATCAGACACTCTTTGTTACTTATTCTCTTCTCCATTTCTTGTGTCACCGGCAAGGTTGATTGGCATTCTCAGGCTACCGCCTTCATCGAGGCCCAATGCCAGGCCGCCCGGTATTTCAACCTATGTGTGCAGTCCCTTTCCAACAACTATGTGAACAACACAAGTGCACCAAACCCACAAGAATTGGCTCAAGTGGCATTGACAGTGACCAACTCAACCAAACGAAGGCCAAAGAGTACCAAGTTGTGAAAGATTGTTTGGATCAGATTAATGATGGTGCGGAGCGGCTAACCCAATCGATTAAAGAGCTACAAGGAATGGGTCGAGCCGGGGCGGCCGATGATTTCAATTGGCGCACGAGCAATGTCCAGACATGGCTTAGCGCTGTGCTCACCGATGCAAACACTTTGCATTGATGGGTTCACAGGGTATGCAATGGGCGGGAAACAAAGGGCTACAATTAAAGCAACGGTGATTAATGTGGCTCAGGTCACTAGCAATGCACTTGTCTTGTTTAATCGATTTGCTGCAAGGCATAGAGTCACTGGTGTCAAGCATAAGCCTTGAGTTTGTATTTGTTCCATATGTTATCAAACATATATATACACACACATGTATGGTCAAATGAATGTGTGAATATGAGGTTTTTGTTGCTTTGAGCCCTTGAAGTCTCTCTTGTGAAGTTGAATAAGAGTGTAATTTAGAAATTTTAATTGTGATTGTCTTAAGGGTCAATGATCATCAAATAAGCCATGAGGAGGCCTGCGACTTTGTACTTGACTTTCTCCTAAATTTTCAAATTATGAGCTGCTGAGAATTCTTGGTTTTAAATGTTCAGTTGCAGCGATAATAGCAAATCCGTTGTAGTCTAGGTGGTTAGGATACTCGGCTCTCACCCGAGAGACCCGGGTTCAAGTCCCGGCAACGGAAATTCCTTTTTGCCCTTTCAAAAAAATTAAAAGGGCCAAGACTCATCATCATTTTTCCTTTTTTTTTTTTTTTTTTTTACTCCTCTTTTTTGACACAAATATATACGCCGCGTATGTGATATATACAACTCGATGCATGCTTTTCATTTTTTTTTTTTTTTTTTGCCGTTAGAACCCTCTTGAGGCAGGGGAAAATTTTTCTAAGAATTATGCTTGAATTTGTTCAGATCAGTTAGAGAAAGAAAATGGAAGCTTATTCATTTTTACTTTTTTCATAAATATCAATGGTAAAAAATGAAGCCCAAACCTGTCTCACCCCTCTAAATGCTTCTACCAGAGAGATGGGATAACTGGACAACTTGAAAAGAAATTAGACAGACATACATAACTTCAACATCTTCCGTGCGCACACACCATAATGAGAAAATTTTGACCCAAAATATTAAAAAATTTCCCACTCAAAACCCGATGAGGAGGAGAGCTAGTGCCATTTGGGCCAATGGCCTGATAGTCAATATACCCACTTTGAAAAGGGACAAGGATTCTCTCAAAATTCAACGGATGAGATTACATGGTAAATCTTATTTATCAATTCAATCTCACTCACTAAATTCTGTGTAAGTGAAGACCAGTAAATTTCATTTATCAATTCAATCTCACCTACTGAATTCCGTGTAAGAAAAGTTTGGCTAAACAGGATCCTTGTCCTTTGAAAAGATATATTACCCCCCGATAAAGTTATCGTCACTAAGATTTCAGAATATTACTTCAATGATAGATGGCTACAAATTGTTTATATTATTTTGAATTTTTTGGGACCAATATTTGAAGGATGCATGTGTAATAGTGCAAATAATCTCGTTGTCATTGAAATTATTGTTCCCATACCCTTTTAGGACACACTAATTTGAATGATTTGATTGTTTATTCTCTCTAGTATGAAAAAAGGTTCTGAACATTTGTTATTCAAACTGCACGAGTTCAAAATTGAATATAGAATCCAAACTACACATTCCACCACATCCAAAACCTAAATGTGAAGCCAAAATTTCATCACCAAATAACATAAAAATACAACATTCTTCTTACCCAATCGAGTAACAAAACAAACTATGGCACAATAAATTATACCAAGTCGCCAAGTAACAATGTTTGGCTGGATCCTGCCCTCTGATCACGGACCCCTAGAGAATACTCAGAATAGAGGCTGAGCAGTTACGAATTTAGCCAAGGGAAGACTTTGGGAGACGTGGGAAGACGGGCTGTAAGAACTTCAACTCCAGTCCCAGTCACCTGCATGACAGGAATACAAATCAATACAACGGCATGAATGCGTTCAAAGACAACAACAAATTCCTAACCCACGATGACTGTTATGCAGCATATATGACGTAGCATACTAATGCATTTTTCACTACATCTCCAAAAAGTTCATGAAAGGTGCACCTCATTATCTCATATTCAAATTTCATAGGTATTTCCCAGAATCTAAGAAATCCACTCAACATGTTCTTTTAACACCATCATCCAACTTCAATTTGTTTCACAAATCCTTGGTTATTACGTCACCAAAAATGATGCATAGCTTGCCCGTGGAATTGGATTTAACAGCAATCATAAAAAACAATATGGCAATGCATCTATTAACATATCCTCCTAATGGTCAGGGCAGTAGCTCTATCAGAAAGAATAAAGCTGCCAATCCGTGGGCAAAACAAAAAAATAACAGTATAGGCAAGGTTAAGGTAAATGATCCATCAACAGAAAGTTATGAGTTGTAACTACCATACGAGAACAATGAATGCACTGGTGCGTACATGCTCCAATGGAAAGGCCAAATCTTCAAGAGAAATGACCAATCAAAGTGAATAAAATGCCCTGACTATATACAACTAATCCCAAGCCCTAGTAATCCAAAATGAAATCCAGAGTCCATGTCTAAGCAGAAGAGAGCTACTGAGACAGAAACACAAGGTAGAAAGGACATGAAATGCATAGTTACCAGAAGTGTGTGTTCAAACTGAGCACTGCGTTTACCATCTGCAGTAACAGCAGTCCATCCATCAGGCCACATCCGATCCCGCCAAACACCTATCATGGAAGTTCGTTAATATGTAAGTTGCAGGCGACTATGTTGCATGGAATCTTCAAAAGTAGTGAAATACCAATGTCATGGGTATGGGATATCTGCCCGACACTTTTGGTTCAACATGTACTTAAAAGCATATCGAAGCATTCAATTATATTATAGTATTACTTTAAAATGAGTTAAAAGCCTATATTGAACACCATATTAGATAAAAACATTACTTTACTCTAGAAAATAAAAAAATAATAATAATTAAATTAAATGAATATTTATAGTGTCCGTGTGTCCTTCTGTTTAGAGATTTGATACGTCCAATGCATGGATACATACCCGTGCCCGAGTCCATGTAACATAGGGCGACATAACCGTTGAACTGATAATTTTTCTCTCTATATACACACACAATTTTCTTAGCAGTATATTTAATAAGAAACCCATCCAAGGCTGTATAAAAAATTATCTGAACCCTGTATCATACTGATCTTGCAAAGAACATGTATAAACGAACCTGCATTGATCATAGGTTCAATAGTGAAGGTCTGCCCTGCCTTCATCACACCAACTGCTTTATTTCCTGCTTGAGGTTAAGGTCAATACATATAATAATGACCAAGTAAGAAGATTCAGTTTCCCTAATGTCACAGTAATAGAGAGGAATTCTGCATTTCTCAAATTGTCATACGTCAAGTAAAAAAATTCATATAAAAAGGAGAATTGGGAATTGCAAGCAGCTCTATTGAGGATACTTCCATAATGGGGAATATTTGGTGCACAATGGAAGAGTTCTCCAATACCATGACCACAATATGATTTAACCTATTTTTACAAAACAGTAACAAACTTGTTAGGAAACTGTCAGCCTTCTCATTAAAAAAAGAACAGTGATCTAGGACTGTAGATTACCACAGATAAACCTGACATTGAAGCATGTCGATTAATGACTTCCCCAATTTCCCGAAATCGTACCCCAGGTTTCACTGTAATCAACAGGATATAAAAATCAGAATAGTAAAAAGTTAAAAAGTCCAGACTCTGTAACAATGCAAAAGACAAGAAAACTGATGGAAAGTAACACCATTTAATGCTTCACATAAATTTTATAATGCATGACAGTTTTCTGAAAATAGGTCAACTATTAGGACTTCCAAGGTATCTTATACATGTTAAGTACTGAAGGTACTTTATGCAAAAACAGAACCCTTAGGCCTTGCTTAGATTGCAAGAAATGAGAATTAGATGTTTCAAGGACTAATCTTCACTGACCTTCCAGCTATTAAGCATTTAACAGTTCAAATAGATGTTAATCATAGAAATGTTAAAAAAATCAAGGGGAAACAGAAAGCAAATTCTTTGTAAGGACATGGAAAACTATCCCTAAAACGGAATACTTCCATGTATATATATGCAGTGAAGATTCGAACAAGCCACGCACTATTACAAGCCCTAGATTAACCGAATGACTTAATGCAAGAAAATAATAATAATAATTAAAAGCGCAAGAAACAAATGACCTTGGGAATGGGTAATTGTTTAACCAGACTTTATTATTCAATTCTAGAAATTACGAATCATAAAACTATTAAAATAAGTGTTCATGTTGTTCATTTGATTATTACCCTGTCTAAACGAAGTTATTTGATACCAAAGGTATCTAAAACCACCAGTGACGTAATAACAGATAGTATGTGCACCAATACTTAACGAAAGGCAAAAAATTAATATATATATATATATATGTGTGTGTGTGTGTACCAAAATGACCAACAATTCCAGGGACAATGGTAATCATTCTTCCTCTAAGTTGGGCCATTGCTACCTTAAAGAATAAAATAATCCAGGAACTCCAACAAAACATAACAGAATTGCAGTCCAAGCTAAACCAAAACAAAGGATCAGACAAACAGAGAGGGAGATGATGATAAGGAATGATGTTTAAGAGGGGAGTGATGATAACAAGTTTCTGTACAGACTAAAATATTAGGTCATGACATACAAAACCAATACATACCGATTGCTATTGCTTTCTCCAAACACTCATAAGTACATTGGACCAGCCGTCGTGACGCTTCATCAACATTTCCGACAAAGAATGTTTCATTGAGATCACCTGCAAGGTTAGCAACAAGTCAACCAACAGTCAAGTACAAATGTGTTTAAAATAATGCCCCCTAATCCAATTAAAAGGTGTAATAAATCTTACCATGGACACCTTTATAGTACACAGTTACATCAACATTTACAATATCACCATCCTCTAATTTCCTGAAACAACAATTACGTATTGTATCAGAAAAGCACCACTCAGGCTCAACATAAATTTGAAAGTTGAGATTAACTTAAAGAAAGCACTGCAAATTTAATGGATTGTTTTGCAGTGGACTGTTGTTTTGGTATCAATGGGCTACGTGCAATTAAAAGGAAGAAGCAACAAGAAATTTGGAAAGTAGCTGCAGAATTAGAATATCAAAAGATAATCAAAATATTAAATCTTTTTGGAAGCTAATAGATATCTTACTGACAGAAAAAAAACAGCATAACAAAGTAATTTACTATTTTTCTTTAAAATACCATCCACAGCTTAGTATAAAACAAATAATTACATGAGAGAAGGGGGGGGGGGGGGGGGGGGGGGGGGGTTGGGGGGGGTGTGGTTGTTCTGTTTTATTATATCTACCGGAATTACAGATAACACGAGTAGATCTTTTACTCAGTTGGATACAGCAGTTACCTTGCATCTGGAATTCCATGGCAGATAATTTCATTGACTGACCTGTGTCAAATGGAAAGAGTAAAATTTGTTAACAATCTAGGTCGTGATGCATAATGAATTTAAGAAAACGTACAAAGAAGAAGTACCTACGTGCAGCAAGACTTTGGGAAGAAATGATAATTTAGTGGAGATGGATATCCTCCTACAGTAGGTAAAATAAGAAGAAAAATCAACAAACCCATATAACAATGGCAAATGCTTTTAATCACATACGCTATCATATCTTTGAATCCCATGTAAGTTTTAGTCATCCCTTTTTCCTGGCATTACCCTAAATATGGACTTTTTCCAACCAAAAAATAAAGGCAGCCAATTTTAGAATTATAGGAGGACAGGGCAAATTGCATAAAACCCCACTAAACTATTCTCTCTAAAGAAACCCCCTTGAACTACTATTTACACAGTTAACCCACTAAACTATCCCATTTTTTACAAAGAACCCCATTCCCTTAGTCTTCTGTTACACCTACTAACAGTAAATTCCAAGATGCAAGTCACATGACTGGCCTATTTTTCGAACAAAGGCATTTTTGCCTTTTATGACCATTACCTAGTGCGTTAACCTGTTTTTAACCCATTTTCCTCTTCCCATCTTCACCTCTGAAAACCCCTAACGAGATGTATAAGCACTGCACTTGTGCGAACAACTAAACCTAACTACTCTCTCTCTCTCTCTCTCTCTCTTGCTCGTGAAATCCATTCCTAGCTAGGAACTGCTTGTGGTGCAGATTTCTGCTTTTTCCAGATGATGCAGCCATTGTAGGAAGTGCTCAAGTTGCCATTGTACCAGAGTGGGTCGATAGAGATGACGCAAGATGGAAGAAAAAGAAGGAAGAGGAGAAAGAAGAGATGGTATGGAATTAGAATTGGGTTTCATTGGGATGCAAAATGGAATCCTTTCGGACATTGGAACTCCCCTCATATCTATCTATATACATACACACACACACTTCCTCTGTCTCTCTTTAGATACAAAATGGTATCCCTATCAATTCAATCTGGTAACAATTAGATGCCACTCGTTTCTTCTCATAAGCCAAATTTTAAACTCTTGAAAATCTTTATTCACATGAAGCACAGAACTCTTTTTCTGCATCAATCCATTTTTCTTGACTTCAGAAGCAGAGCCAAAAGAAGAATTCAAAGACTATGCAACTACAGTAGACCACGTCCCTACTCAAGAAACTGAAGGAAAAATCTCAACCCATATATGTGTGTGTCTCTTTCTGTGTTTGGATTATCAAAACATTCTCTTTTGTTTTTTTTTCCTCCATTTTATAACAGCTTTTATAGCCTCTCTCTCTCTCTCTCTCTCTACACACACACACACACACACACACGTATATCCTGCAAACAACAAATTAACAGATTGCATTAAGATAATGAAAAAATGAGGTGTTGATTTCTTAGTGGGTGTTGATATTAATTAGCCACATAACCAACAACTCTCAAATAAGCTTGAAACAACGTAACTTAGATAATGGGCAAAAATGTAATTTCAAATTTCTGTTAACGGCTGTTTGACGCCATCTCCTTAAGTGTGTATTTCTTTTAGTTTGGGGGGCAGTTTGTAGTTTAGGGGGTTAGTTGCAAAAGGGTGATGGATACGGGGGAGATGTTATGCAATTTATCCTTGAAGGACAAACCCAAAATCTAGCAAGTGTCCCCAACATCAAAGCTTCCCCAAATTTCTATAATGCCAATCGTATTACTCTATTTTATTTTATTTTTAACTTCAACTCAACTCAACAAAGCCTTTTCACAACTGTGTAAATCTAGTCTAATACTTAAACTTTTACTTCTCAAAAAAATTATTGCCAATTATGAAGAGTGAAATGGTCCACGTAAGGGGTAATGCTACTAGGGTGAGGGAAAGGCCAAAGTTAATGTGTAGAGTTAATGAGTAAGGTTATATTAACATGTGATTTAACTGAGACTATGGCCTTGGATAGAGCGGAATGGAAAAACATATTTCATGTAGCAACCTCAAGTAGTTGGGAAAAGAGGTTTTGTTGAGTTTAGTAAAAAAAAAAAAAAAATCCATAAAATATTTTCTAGATAAACAACTCAAATAATATAACTCAATAATTGATTCTTGTACGAAAACTCGAACGGAAAAAATGCAGTAGCAACATTAACTTGTGAAAAGGGCATAAAAATAAACATCAGCGTGAAATAAATATGATATGAGATGTTCAGCGTGTTGATTTCTAGAAAACAAATGAAGACAAAACCAGGATTTAGCAATTAAGAAAAACATTTACATGGACACAAATATGGGATAGAATATGATACAACATAAACACAATGGTACAAAAAATTCTGAAAAATAATATATATATATGTATATATGTATATATTTGCTGAGAACAGCACAACATATATGTAGGAATATAAATAATTATAAGATGACAAAAGATTATTTTATATATAAGAATAATTATATTAAAATTATAATTCCATAAAACTACAGTATTTGTTATGATATATATATATATATATACACACACATTATAGAAAATGCACGGCATGTATCTACGACCATCCAAGTAGTATCAGTATTTGATACAAATGTGATATAAATACCACAACCTTTTAAAAGTATCGATACTTCATAGATAGCATCAAATTATCTAGGAGGCAAGAGGAAAGTTCTGCTTACATGGGACTTATTGATTATCTAGGAGGAAAGAGGAATGTCCTGGTTACATGGACTACATATACATGCCTAATTGATTTCTTCTTCAAACTAGAGGCTAAATTTTCTTGCAAAACCAGAGAACGAGAGAGGAGCTGGAAGGATCCATATGCCCGAATTTCAAGCACCCCAACAAATAGCACATTATTAAAAATTTCTACCCTATCATATCATGCAGTTACTAGTGTTTTAGTTCAAATAATTCATAAAACCAACAAGGAAAAAAGATAAAAACCTATTTCACAAAGCTCAAATACAGAGTCAAGCATACCAGCAGCAATTGTTGCTTCATGTACCACCTCGTCAATTTCATCAGTAGTCACACCAACTCGAATAACACGAGCAGCTGCATCCAAAACTTCCCTTGCTATCTGCAGGAAACATTTTGGAAGAAACAAATTCAAGATTTCCCTAAAGAACAGATCATGATAGTACAGCTGTGGTTCTGTTCCCTTCTTGCCCTGATGAAAGAAATTTCTCTCTAGAAAATAATAGCATTTTCACCTCAAAATCTAATCTCTTTTCTTATTAAAAATGTGTTGTTCTGCTTTTTCCCTAGCCACAATTATTTGGAATGCTGAAGTTTTTCTAAAGTTAAAAGCTTTGAGGTGGTATAATCTCTTACTGCCAACAACAATAATAATAATATCATTTTCCTTCAATCTAGGGCTTTGCTTGATACCATTTGGGTTATTTGGACTGTAAAATGGACAAAAAGAAAAAAGAAAAAAAAAACACACACACAAAAGAACATTTTGAAGAAAAATAAATAAAAATCCGCTTTGGATGAGATGTGGGATAAAGTGCTTTGCTTCCAACCAACTGGGTTATTTGGACAGAAAGAAAAGCAAGAACTTTGGGCGGAAAGGATAGCAAGAACTTCGTAAGGAAAAAAAAAAAACACTTCAGATAAGTTGGGGAATAGAGCAGTCCTTTAAGCCTCTCTTTGGATCTCAACTGCTAAAGAAATTGAAGGTATTCCTCTTGGCTGGATATTAATTAATTGAATCTTTGGTTACTTCTTCCTGAGCTAAAGATGAAGTTTGCTTAAGGTCTTCAAGGCTTTTCCTAGGGGGGAAATCAAAATTAGTTTTGATGGCTACTCTTTAAGCAAACCATGTTCATTTGCTATTTTGTTTTACTTTTGGGGGGCTGGTTTATTCTCTCAAGATTACATGGAAACTACATCTAACTTTTTTAAGAACTCAGATTTACGAAAAGAGGTCAAGGCAGAAAATCAGCTCTTTTAGAAATTCAGGAAGCTCAATGCCTTGTTATCATCATTGCAGAATGCAAAGTAAAGGAAGATCCTATGGAAGTTTCGGAATGGGCTACCTCAAGGAAACTGGGTTGCTTGCTTTGTGATCATTGGACAAGGAAATTGGCACTGGCCTAATTTCCATGGCCATGGTTCCTTTGCTATCCAAGAGAAGCTAATAAGCTGCTGATTCTACAAGAAAATAAGTAACTTCCACTTTTGTTTTTTGTATTTTTTTTTTTGGGTCTTGTTGACACTAGCTTGTTACCCTGGGCCGGCGAGCACCCACCCCACCCCATCAAAACCACCACAATTGATGCCTTGAGATCTCTTATCCTTGCAACAATGGTTCATTTATGTGTTATATACATTTATATATATAATAATGCTAAGATTCATTAGCCACCTTTTTATCTCTAATTAAACTTTATCTTGCTTTATTTTTTTATGCCAACAAACACTTCATTTCTTACATCAACATATTTGAAGTTCAAAAAGTATTTTTTCATTTTCCATTTGGATAGAAAAACTCAGAACCTGATGGAGAGAAATCAGAGGCCCTCACTTGCAGCAACTTTTTCATATTACGAGATGATATTTTGCTACACATATGCACTAGCACACATACGCAAACACAAAGGCATCAATTATAACACGGCCAAGGAGCCTCTGAATAAGGCTATGATGCAAACTTCAGCGTGGAACTTAAGAAAAAACCAGTTTGGTTCATGCAAAAATAAACAAAAAGGAATGATGAAAACTTACACGGCAAGTTTCTCTCATTCTCTCAATTTGCTCTGTGGTTTTGATCTTCAAACAAGAATGTAAAATTAAAAAAGAAAAGTAATTAGGTCTCATTTCTATCCAATGAACTTATATTTAACAGGAAACTACTTTCCAACTCAAAGGATTACCTCAACAACATGCTGCAGATCACTATTGGGCTCCTCCTTTGGGATCCCCTACAAAGTTGATACATGAAAAGGGAAGTTTGTTAAAGAACTACACCAGACAACATAAAAGGTATTTTAAATAACAATAACAAAATTGACAATAATTTTGTCAAATTATCAGAAAATTCAATATTATCAGAAAATCCACATTAAAGGACACTAATCTACATATTCCCCTACTAAAATTGACAATAGGGGGAAAAAAAAGAAAAACAGAGACAATTACTTGAAATTTAAACAGAAATAAGTCAAACAACTCACATCCATTGCCCAGTCAGGTTGATCAATGTGAGCAGGTATAATACGCTTTTTTGATATGGGATATGGCCTTAATGTCCTGTTCAAGATTAAAAAGCAATTTGAGTTTCAAACAATGAGAAACAGGTGTAAATCAAACTCCAAAACAACATCTTAAAGCACTGAGGAACAAAACAGGATTGAAATATATCACATTATGGACCATTTGAAAGAAGACGAAAAAAATAAACATCATTATTCTTTTAAGAGATAACTATGTTCTATCAAATAAATAATCGTCAACACTCATTAATAATATCAGTCCACAAGATACCTATGTTCAAAGCATGACTTATCCAAGGGGAGAATAACGGCGTTTGGCAGGCTCACATGTCTCACATTAAAATAAATCAGCAGTAATATTATTAACTGAAAAGAGAAGTGACCATGCATACAGTGCCACCTTCTTATCTAATTAAAACAATTAGGAAATGCCATGGAAAGTTAAACATTTGTCATTATCGTATAACCCCCAGTTTTCATGACAACACCCAATTGTCACCCGAGTCTTCAGAGACCAATCTGATAGTGCTAGATTGAAAGGAGGAGGAGGAGGAGGAGAAGAGGAAGATAATGTGACAACTAGCAAGAGTACTATGTCTTAGTTTGTCCCCAAACAGGACCTAATCTCTCTTCGAAAATTGTTGCAAACCATATCTTTCAAGAGATGCTTTTGCTTATCAGAAATCAGCATGCATGATGCACATTCATATCATGTGACAGAATTTGATCTTCTGTCTTGTAATATTTCCTAAAATTCCAGGGATATTTAAGGGTCACCACCCAACGTGCTCCCTGTTAATCAAGAGTGTAGTGAGAGTTTGACTGGACAACAGACTAAAACTTCATATTTCTTTTATAATTTCAGAGCTACAACGTGTAGTTAGATATTATATCACATATAGACATTTGATTGTGCTGGATACCCATCTGGGATACAGAACGTCTCTGGAAATGATACAATTATCTATGTTAGATACTAGTGGAAACACAAATACCTAGCTGACATTGACATAAAACCCATTAAATATCGTCTTTCCGAATTAATTGTCATTTTCTATTTTCATTTCTTATGAATTTTGAATTGAAAAAATGAACAACTTTGAAAAATGGTCGTGTTTCAGTAATCACGAACTTTTAGTTATAGAAAGTGCAGAATACTATTCTCAATTAGTTTCTTGAAAACTTGCCACTTTAGGAAATTTTTCCAAGAACAATTTCTTAAACATCTCCATTAAATATATTCTCCGGCTCATTTTCATTTTGTTCTGCTTTCAATAACAAAAAGTACTTCTAGAAAGGCATACCATATGTGTCCTTAAGGTATCAAAAGACACCTGCTAATTTGTTATTCAATCACCTGATCTTTAAAAATAAGTTAATCGCCCATAAGACACTTTTACCACCCAAAAAAAAACAATTTATCCCAAGTTAGGAGAAAATATATGTAGTGTCTAAAACAAGACCAAGTCCCCATGTGCTAACCTAGCTTAGGTCATATGTGATGCAAACAAATTGGTATTCTCAGTTAGGTACCCTATCTGGTACCTTGAAATTGAAGCTTGGAAAGTACGCTTTTAAGGTAGCTCAAATCCTCTAACTCAATATATAGTGAAGGAAAAGACCTTATACAATTCAAGTCTATCATCCAAATTGTCAACTATTACAAGTCTGACAACAACTATCATGAAAAACATTGACTAAGAATGAGACTCAAAAGTCAAAAGAAATACCCTGTCCAATCAAAAAGGGGATGTTTTGGTGTTCGAGTCTGTCCTTTCTTCAAGCAATATAGCCAATCATCATCCGGTGCAGCTGAATTTTGTTCACCAGGAGTACCAGGTCCGAAAGATGACAATTTTGCCTTCAAATGAACTGATTTATGAGAGACCCATGAAGCCTTGAAACAGTCCTGGGTGCTGTTCAGAGTCGCAATTCCATCATAATATAAGCCATAAACAGTATCACAGCCAAAAAAATGGTAAATCAATCATTTGCAAACATAGACATAAAGCATTTGCAAACATAACTAAATATATATGTATCAATCAGTAACAATAATCAAGCCTTTTCCGTTGAATTTCTAGTTTCAAAGCGTTCCCGAGTTTCCATGATTTTCTGGATGTTATGCCATGATAGAAAGTAAAAATAAAGCCAATTAAAGAAGCCGTTACAAACCAGAAAGCAGCACCTTCACGAGGAAGCTTCAATTCCACACACTTTGGACACCTGCAAACAAGGGGGCAGGGGGAGATATCTATCAGAAAAATGGTATAAAACCCAGAGCGAGCTAATGCCTTCCATGAACCTAGAATTACCCAAACTTTTTAACACTCGAAGAAATTGACAATTCCTAGCAAATTCATTATTACATAATGAAAGAAAGCTATACTGGATTATGTTTTATGACTTGGAATGTTAGGTCACGTGCAACGAGAACACAGAAACACAACGAAGATATGATATATCAAGTGTCAAAGAGTTTACCCACGCCTCTATATGAAAATGAAAACTGCATATTGGAACCATAGTAATAATATCACATGCAATTCGATAGCCATCAAAGCAATAAGAATGCATCTGGTGCCACATATCACAAATAGCCATACCACCACAAAAATCGCCATAATTTAATTCCAGTTTCATTCTGAAATATACCAAGCAGTACAACAGAGGACAATTAACTCTATATTTTTCATATAGAATTACAAAGCAATGCCGAAATTGTTATTTCTAGCACTGACATTTATCACCATATTTAAGCTTTTTTTCTTTGATTCTTTTGCAAGTGAATGAGCTATGATCAATTTACCAATGCAGTTTACACATGCGGACACACACGAGACACTTATATTTTTTATATATACAGTGTACAAGAAAATTATAAAGAAAGTTGTTCTACATCAAAACAGAATTATCAAAAATATCGCAGAGAATCGCAGGATTACATACTGAAGATGTGCAGGCTTGCCACATTGAGCACATGATAAGGTCGTAGTTTCGGCCATATCTGATTCACCAGCCATCAATCCGATCTTTGTGCACTGCATAAAACCAATTTACTGTATCTATCATCCATCTATATATATAAATACACACAACAAAAAAAAAAAAAATTGTATATTTTTTTGTTTGACAAGTGAGTAAAGCACATACCTTCAATAACTATCGTCTGAGATGGGGAATATAGCTTTATTGGAGAGAGAGGGCACTTAGGGTTTTTTTTGCAGACTAACCCTAAAATGGAAGTCAGAAGTAGATGTTGTGGGCGGTGACCTGTGTACTTACCAAAGTCAAGTCGCACGTGGAGGCTTATTACTGGTACAAGGTTTGACATTTACTTAAATTTTAAATTTGGAGAATAAGAAAATATGGAGTATGAAATAAAAACATTAGTAAACAATATAATTATTAAAATAGTGGGTCAATTTTTTTTTAGCTTTATTTAGCATGAAAAAAAAAGCCACATATTAAAATAGTAAATTGCAGTGACCTCTTTTGGAATTTGGACAAATTTTATACAAGTGGAGCATTTAATTTTTATTATTTTGATCTCTCCTAAAGTTTGGGTGTATACTCAACAAACCCCTCTCCACCGAAACTTGTTAAAAAATTTTATAAAATGATCAAATTACCCTTACACTCATTTTTTTTTTTTTTATTTATAATATTTTTTTTAGGAGAGGGTAGTGGTGGTGGAGAGGAGAGAGAAAGTAATAAGAGAGATGGGATAGAAATTTGATCTTTTTAGATTTTGAAATATATTTCAAATATATTACATATAAGGGTATGATTGACTTTTTATAATTTTAAGGTAGATCAGAATAATAAATCTCAAACACTCCACCCGTGTGAGATTACTTCGTCCAAACTCAGGGGAAGGAAGTATAATTTACCCTTAAAATAACTGCATATAACTTCCATCAACTATAAAATATGCAATTCTTTTTTTCCATGATAATATGTATTTTTTTTTTTCCCTAGTTGGTACAGGAGCAAGATTGACTTCTTCGAGGTCTGGAGGCTGGAGTCGCTCGAGGGATCCTATCGGGACCCTAAACACAAAATCCCAAGTCTCCAAGGACGAGGGAGAGTAATTAATTGCACTTACGAAGCACTAGTGTTTAACGTCTCTAACAAGACGTTGGGCTCTTTAGACCCAGATCAAAAATCTACACACATGTCTTTTCTGAGACTTGAACCCCTAACCTCCCTTTAGGAGATAAGAGGCCGATATCGCTAGGCTACTGGCCCGTTGGTGATATTATGTAATATTTTTATAGTGAATTTTATGTATATATTAGATTCTTAACGATATTTTTGAAGGAAGTCTATATTACATTTTATATATATATATTTTATATTTTTTTTTTCAAAAATTAGCAATACAAAGATCTTGTCTTTAATTAACACTTGGAAAAATTGCAATCGTCATATTTCTTACATGCATCATAATTATAGGACTCTTTTTTTTCATGGATAAACTCACACATTCATTTATTGTTATGTGAAATTTAATTGAGAAATTTTAAAATCTCATTACTTAATTTTTCATATTTTAAAAAATGCTAACTTTTTCAAAGTATTAGGTTTGACCACCAATTTTCTGAAACTAATTACAAAAATATACAAATGCACTTTTTATATTTTTTTCATGGTCCAAAATGCCCCTCTCTGCATTATACTCTCCCCCTATTTCTCTGATCTCTAACCTGCATACCAAATTTCTTGCTAATCTTGGGTCTTTTGATTTCCGACCAACCATTACCTTTGTCCCTGTCACGTCACAACATAGCTTCCATCAAAAAGAACCCAAGACCCAATCCTAAAAATGAAAAAATAATGATAAAAAAAAAATAAAAATAAAAAACACCAAACCCATCACCGTCGTTCTTTGCTCGTCGGCGTCGGAATCTTTCTGGTAGCTGTTATTCACCACCGTTTCAGCTCGCCAGTAAGTTGTTTAGTGCACCGCCGTCACCACTGGTATCACCACTACCAACCATCTTTGCTACCTATTAATCATTTCTACAACCATCTATGTTCACCCCATAGTCACCTTTGTGGAATCACATACACCACAACAAAATTTATTTTTTCAAACTCCATTGTCAGTGAGAAGATTGGCACCATTTCTATTAAAATTATTCTCATTTTTATTACTGAATACAAAATGTTTTTAACTTCAATTCCTAAAGACCACAAGGTAGATTATGAATAATCTTGACAACCAAGGAGTAAGTAATTAGAATCAGAAGACCCAAGATTAGCAAGAAATTTGGTTTGCAGGTTAGAGATAAAAATAGATGAGAGAGTATAATGTAGAAAAGGGCATTTTAGACAATGAAAAAAATGTAAAAAATGTTTTCATATACTTTTGTAATTAGTTTCACAAAGTTGGTAGTCAAACTTAATGTTGATCAAATGACCCTAATGCATTTATTTTGATGATAACAAATTATTTAAAGAGGTTTTATATATTAATGTTTCAACTGAGTTTAAATGCAAGGAAAATGAATGCTTCTATAAAGAGGGGAAGAAAGGAACTTCATGACATAATGTGGACTTGGATGCACATACTTAAAACATCCAAAGGCTGTAAGTGCTCTACAAGAATTCATGATCAACTAAAGGCATAAAGAAGAAGAAGGGTAGATAGGATGGCAAGAGCTATAGGAAATCTTGTCAAAGTAAAAGATGAAATTAATTGAAGCTCAAAATCACTAAAATCATGCATACAAGTTGTACTTAATCATATTTAATGTATCAAGGCATGATATTTACAAAGCATAACAGAAAATGGCTCAAAACTGCAGCATCAAGCAATTTACGTCGACGTCTACTAAGCTCACGTAGACCAGTATCTAGGCAATAGCAAATTTCAAGAAGAAGTTCATTCATGTTGACTGGTTTAATGCATACGTCAATCGGTTTACAGCATATGTTGACCGGTTCATGCAAAGATGTCGATCGATTTATGCCACATGTCGACTGGTTTGGTCGCAGCTCTACAGATTTAAATCTTAAACGGCTAAAATCTCATTTAATGCTCCCAACTACCTGCAACAGCTATATTGAGCTCGAAATCTCTACAAATACAGAAGGTTGGACTGAAGATAAGAGACACCACTTGAAAGAGCATTTAACAATATCATTCAAGTGCATTCAAAGAGCCCAAAAATTCTGATCTGAGCATTCACTTCTCATTTCTTCTCTCATATTAGTTTAGAGATTTAAGCTTCATTTATTTCATCTACTTACTCTAGTGTGAGATTGATTCATGTAACATTTTATAGAGAGAGAGAGACAAACAATCTTGTAACTTTCATTCATAATTCTATAATCTTGTTAGGGTTAGTGTGACCCGAAAAAAGCCTAGGAGAAGGTGTTCTCCTAGTAAGGAAGATAAACAAAAGGCTTGCTTCATTTAAAGGTTTGCTCTCCACTATTAAGGAGAAGTCATAGTAGATTGGGAAGTCTGAAGAGGGATCTTGAGCCAAGAAGTAGGAGTTTCCGAATCTCGCTAAAGTCGCTGAGTCACTGTTTGCAATCTCTTATCTCTATCTCCTTTATATTTGTGATATAAATTGATTAACTATCTCAATTGATTATTGCTTGATTGATAGTTAAAAAACATTTTTATAATTTTCAAAATTGGCCATTGACTTTATTCACCACCCCTCTAGAGTCAATTAGTGTTCAACAATTGGTATCAGAGCTTAATCTCTAGTTAAAAATCTAATCATCTTAGAGAATGATCATGGCCAACTTTCATCAAAAAGGTCAATCTAACAATAGACTTCCTTAGTTTGACGGAAACGATTATAACTATTGGAAAATCAAAATTAGAGCATTTCCAAGAGGCCTAGATATTAATGCTTGTAAAGCCACCGAAAAAGGTGACCATATTCCAACCAAAGTTATTGATGGTGAAAATGTTCCAAAAATCGATGATGAGTGGACCCAAAATGAGCGTAGGCTTGTTCAATGTAATGTCACGGCTATCACAAATCTCTATTGTGCTCTAAGCAAAGACGAATTCAATAGAATTTCAGATTATGAAACGGCCAAAGAAATTTGGGATAAACTTGAGATTACCTATGTTAGCACTAGTCATGTTAAGGAATCCAAAATGAACATGCTTATCCATAAATATGAATTATTTACCATGAACAACAAAGAAACAATTAATGAAATGTATTCTCGTTTTACTAACATTGTTAATCATTTGAAGGCTCTTGGAAAGTCGTATACATCATCTGAAAATGTGAGAAAAATTCTTAGGTTTTTGCCTACAAATTGGGAAGCTAAGAAGACCGTTATCTAAGAAGCTAAAAATCTCAACACACTTCCTATTAGTTCCTTGATGGCATATGAGCTAGAGATGAATGATAGAGATGACGACAAAGAAACTCATAAGAAAGATCTAGCTCTTCAAGCCACTACCAAAGAGGTTGAAATTGAGAAAGCTCTTGATAATGAAGAAGAAGAATAAATTGCATTCATCACCAAAACCGTGAGAAGAGTCCTTCAAATGAAGAAGTACCAAAAGATCAACAACTTTAAAAGAAATGGTTCGTCAAGTGAGTAAGGAAAAAGAGAAGTACCTACTTATTTCCATTGTGAAAAGCCGAGGCATTTCAAATCGGATTGTTATGCTTACAAAAACGAAAAGGAACGGAAAAAGAAAGCCCAAGTCATGCGTGTTACATGGGAGAATGACGATTCAGATGGATCCGGAAGTGATGATGAACTCAATGAATTGGTCAATCTTTGTCTCATGGCCGATGAAGATGAGGTAAACTCTAACCATGACTCATTTGATTTAGAAACTACTTATGATGAATTGGTTGATACCTACAATTACTTGCTTGACGCTTTTAAAGAATTGCATGATGAATTAGGCAAAATGGTTCAAAAGTGTGCTAATTTTAAAACAGAAAAATATATTATCTCACAAAAACTTAAAAAATATCTTCTTGAAATTGAAGCATTGAAAAAGGAAAAAGAATGTGAGTTAGCTAAAGAATTGACATCTATTGATTTAGTTTCCGAAAACGAGTCATTGAAAGTCATAATTGAGGATCAAGTAGAGATTTTAGCTAAGTTCACAAAAGGTAGAGAAAATTTAAGTCTTATGCTTGGTAAGTAGAGAAATACTTATACTAAAGATGGGCTTGGATATAATCCTCACAACAAAGATTCTTATTTGTTGAAAAAAAGAAAACCTTTGAATGACTACTTTGTTAAAAATTCCTCTCAA